AATCGAGTGGCCAAATTCATGCCGAGGTTCGACGGCCCGTACACCATACTCGACGCACACCCTGAAACTTCCACGTACACTCTGGATCTCCCGAATTCCCCGAATATCTTCCCAACCTTTCATTCAAGTCAGCTACGACAATTTCACGCTAACGACTCATCACTCTTCCCATCACGTGAACTACCTCGCCCCGGACCAGTGGTCACCGAAGACGGCCAACACGAAAACTTCATTGAAAAGATTATAGACGAACGACGAGTGGGCAGGGGAAAACAGTTCCTCGTACGCTGGGTCGGATTCGATGAAGCAGACGATGAATGGCTACCGAGGCGGGAGTTGGAAGACTGTGAAGCGCTGGATGTTTGGGAGAAGGAAGGTTCAAAAACATAGTGAGGAAGGGTGTAAGCCGAGCTCGGCTTACTACGTCATAGAACACACGACGTCACTCCTCTTCTGATGCTCTGATGCGTCGCTGATAGCTGATTGGACACCGTCGATCTACTGATCACTATATATACCGTGCTGTGTACATACCTACGGATCATCTCCTTTCCGTACTTCTCAATCACACTCTCTTCCACGTTATTGTTGTCTGATCTTAGTGTTGCCGTCGACGTACGGCCTTCCAACTTGCAATCATATATATGCAGGTGATGTCGACGGCCGCTGCATACAACCAGTCAAGTGCGAATCTTGCGGTGGAGACCTTGGGATGCTGATCCAGAAAGTCACATGTCAGAGAAAATGCGCAAGGAAAGGATGAAGATTCTTACCAGGTAGCAGGACTCCATTTTGTGATAAAACACTAATCTTCAAAAGGACTTGATCCGCAAAAGACATGTGAGGTTGAGTACGAACAAACTGAAGGCATCGTGGCTCGGGCACCTGATGAGAGTCCCCAAGATAGGTCAACAAAAATGCCCAGCGCTGCGACACGCACCATAGCAGTGGTAGGGCAAGCCACCATTCTACCCTACAGCTTCAAGTCCACTCAAAACACCTCCACAGTCGAAGAAGCGATCGAATGCAGACGTGAGCGCAGACTGCAGGGCTTGTGGGGAACTGGGCGCACGGTGGGTTCCACAGGCGTAACATGATATGGGGCAGAGTTGCCCCGAAGGTGCGAAATCTGAACGTAGACTTGCAGTGATAAGAAGTCAAGTCGCAAACGGAGAATCTGAAACAGGGCTTATATATCGCTACATCGGCGCACCCGCTGTGAGTCGTGATGATATGGTTTGACCAGCACTGCACCTAAGAAATTCCTGGCTAACGGGTACCGGTGCAGCCTTGAGCGCGATGCCAGTAAAGTACGCTGCTGCAGACATATGGTATTGAGTAAAAGAACAGTAAGTGCTAAGCTGGTGGATTCTTGGTGACGCCACTGGTGTATGCCATGCGACAAATCGGGAGGGAAGTGACATGGTGGGGATTGAAAAGCTGCACGATGCTCACCAATATTCCACTTCCATGGTCCACGACCCAACATTCTTCTTTATCGCTAAATACATCGAATCTCTTCCCCGTGATCAGAGTGGCGGGGACGGCGCACGTCCTGGATTAGTTGATTGATAAATTGGCAACTTGACATGCGATGAACTGAGGTGCGTGTTGATGGGGATGTGGTCAGTGGGACATTCGGGTTCGACAAGTGTCTCGGTTAGGTTGAGAAGAAAGAGGCTATCTCTGTAGCCATCGTGCCTCCTACATGGGAGTGCAAGATCATCCTCAGCGATGGTGTCAGAGAGGATTACAGATGCAAGTAGTTATGGACCGTGACGCAGCGGAAACACTGGGAGAGGGCCTCAGAGGGGTGGGTGGAATGAAAGGACAGAAGTAAGGGAGCAGATCAAATTTCTAACACATGAGACCGTGCTTGAAGTTTAAAATTTGAAGTTTGGGGGTGGAAGGTGCAGCGGTTGGTATCATATTCAATGAAATAGCAATGGGCAGGTGAAAAGACACCTTGCAAGGGAACCGTGGCGGGAACGTAATCGCACTGACACTTTCACCGGACAGAAAGACAATTGCCATTATGCCCGGAGCTCTGTAGGATTCGGGATAAAAGTATTTTTGCAATTATTAGCATTCGAAAAAGTCGCTAATCCAATGCAAAAAACACACATTCCGTTATTAACATGCTAATAAGCAAGGAGTTTTCTCCCGCACTCCGGCGGAGTGCGGGAGGAAATTGCGAGGAATGAGTTCATGCAAATATTGACCGTTGAACGTCTAAGTATAGCCTAACTTGAGTCTAATAATAGACTTACTTCTCGCGACACGCATTGTAAGGACAAGATGCTGATTATGTAATCACAGTACACAACGTGTTTGAAGGTCCAGAAAAGCTGTAGCCCCCCGCTGATATCGAATCGTGACCGGCTTGCAGTCCGCTTGTAAGTACACCGATTGCAAACTTTATCAAGAGTCACCAAGAAGCCCAAGACCCTCTGCCTACTATTCATCTTCATGAAACAACACCGGAGATCCTGCCAGCTCCGTAAATGTGACTTGCCTTGGAACCTGAAAATGTGAGTGGAGGATGATGAAGCTTGACGAGAACAGAGCTTGTACAGGCAGACCAGAAGTCATGTATCTGGATTGCCAGTTCAAGGCCTGTCCTCATATGACTTACCACGCAGTGAGTTATTTTTTTGCACTCCGGTAATAGACACCAGGGCGGTTCTCCCAGCCCCAGCGAGGATTATGAAATCTACTCCTTGCTATGAGACAATTAGGTCTAAATGGCAAGGGAGAGGTATCGAGTGAGTGAGTTTTCAACCTGTCTTCATGAGCTGTTGGTGGCCTTACATACCTATCGCAGGTGTGGAAATCGACCACGCACGATCCACACTAGGTGTATTGTTTTCTGTCCATTTTTGGCTACATTAGCCACACTTCAGAGTGAGACATTTGTTGTGGCTGACGCACAATGGTTGATGGCCTACTGGCAGCCCCGTGATTTGGCAGAGGTTTCACGTCAATAGAGTCATCACAAGGTCCGCAAGGTGATGCCCGGCCGGTCATAAATCGCACAATTTCTTGAACGCTTCGTAAATTTGCATATTAATGTATCTTTGGCCAGGTGTAACATTAGCTAGCATACGGCGCTATCAAGGACCCGAGCCTCATATTCACTTAAAGTCCTGATGTAGCTCGAGGCTCAAATATTCAATTAAATATACATGCCGACAAGTATTTTACGCAATGGTTAGTATAGCTAAATGTAAAATGATAGTCCCTACACATCCTTCCGCCTTGACCGCTGCAGAAATGTGCCTATTCCCAACGACGATGAATAGGCCACACGATGTGACATCACACCGTACGGTCTGCAGGTGACATGTCGGACATGGAAATGTATATGAGAGCGCCAGAGCAGTGCATGTCCCGGTCGATATGCCAGAGATGGAGGTGCATGCGCGTGGCGAGGATCGCAAGGATAAGGACTTGAAAACTGTATGTGCGTTTGTGGGTGTTGTAAGAGGGAATTCGAAACAGAAGTCGGAGGTACATACTCATCGAGGACGTTGTAATATGCGGACTGTGTGTATGGAACATCAACGCCGATTCAATCAGATTAAAGGGTATTGGGAGGTTGTACGTACATCATAAAAAAGCACTGGCATGAGGAAGTTTACGGCGAGAGAACTTTCGGAACATAATCATCACCGATGAGCACGGAAACATGCATAAGGACTCACAGAGACCGCATGCATAGTAGTATACGTTATGCTTCACGAGGACGGTGTGCAGATGACCCTTGGCCGACCGCCAGCTCTGTATGACACGTATGAGTGTTAGGGAGACCAGTACTGAGGAAAGCGTCAGTCAGCCCGCATCTGTCAGCTATGCTCCCAGTTCGCGGCGACATACCCAGTTGAAAGACGAAAATGAGAACAAAGGGCATGAAGCGTAGGACACCACTCGAGCTCCGGTAGCAGCCTCGGATGCCTGGGATCGCGCTAATCGTGACTGTGAAAGTGGAGTGAATAGGTGCGAATAGTAGTGGGGAAAGGTGAGAGCACAAACCATATGAGGTGGCAATAGTGGTATAACGAATGCTAACGGATGTTACGGTAATAGCCTAATTGATGTATCAACCATTCACTTGAGCACCTGTGTGACACCATTATTATTACTAATTAGTAACGAACATGTGATGTGATGTGTGTTACTAACTAGGGGCGGAAGTCTATGCTGCGGTACTTCAGCGAGTTCCGCAGCACTCGGCAGTCACTTAGGTAGGTAGAAAACTCTGTTAGATAAGATATGATCATCTAGCGCTTATCTCCCTTATCGGACAAAGCCGAGAATGGCGGTTACTGCCGGCAACATATTGCCGCTACTTCCCGACACTTCCTCGTTATTTCCCACGTCCTTCAAACCTTCGTGCTCATCGTCGGGCACGATGAGCACCGAAATACCCTTCAAACTCACCTGTTTTCAAGCGCGTCTTTCTCTAACCTCATCCATATTGACATATATGGAGTTATTCATGTAAATGTAAGTATTTTCATAGCTTAGTTATCAAGACTTGATCAACAGGCACTACCTTCTTTCCCACCGTCACTGTGACATAGCTGGCCATGCGCCAAACGAAGAAGATGTCAACATCCTCGCGGGTCAGGATGACTGTTCTAGACAACTCTCATTCAATGCGCACCACCACTGCCTCCTTGACACAAATCAGGCGCGAGCGTTTGGCAGAAGAACGGCGTCGCGCAGATCAAACGAGAGGTATGTTCTTATGATTTGTCACCCCCTTCTCTCAACTTTTGTAACAGAAAACAGCCTGCGTATGCGAACGCTGCTTGCAGAGGCCCACCTTGAGGCAGGACCTGACTATGTAGATGACAACCACCATGAACCAATGTTCGGCGATGAGGATAGCAGCGAGCAATGGGTAGGTGATGATGGCGAAGAAACTGTAGATGGCCCGTTGTTCTCTGAGTTTCTTCATACATCAGCTCAACAACGGCAAGTTCTCTGACTCTCGGATGATATTCGCTAAGACCGTTTGTAGGGCTGTTTCAAATCATCGTCAAGACAAACGGACCCGCACTCAGCGGAACAGTCATGCTAATGCTGCTTGGGCACAGCAGATACCTGCTCTTGTTGAAGCATATCTGCGCTGGAAACATGAACCCGAACCCCGTTGTGCTGATGATCCTAGTCACCATGCTTTCAGTGTGAGGGGAGTGGGCATCATGGGTAGGTCATGAACCACTCGCGTTTATCATTCTCACTTTCTTTCATAGATTTTGCGCCTCATTTACTCATCCAACAACAAGATAATGAAGTGGCCAATGCAGCGCTACTGCGCTGCGGTTTCCTTGGGTCCTCGCCAGTCCAGCCAACCGTTGCCATCAAACTCGAGTGCCTGGAACTTTACCACCAAATACGCCGCCGCCAATCTTCGTTCGGCATCCAAACGATTACTAAGGTATTGTGTGCCCTTCATAATGTAAGCCAAGTGTCGGTTGAATTATTTCACATCACTGATGGGCCACTCACAGGTAACGTATTCTTCATCATTTCGGGCTCAATTCTCAACAGCCTTTGACATCTATCTCGAAATATTGCGTAACATTCGTTCACGAGTCAACCATGCTCTTGGCAGGGATCCAATCAACTGGCGCATGAACGGGGCGTGTCCGTCGTGTACATTTGAGGTAATCTTTTCTCACTTTTCACGCACTTTGCACTGACATTCATTCAAATCAGCAATCAGATGAACCGAAACTCGTCCCTCGAAGATTGCACTCAATGGATGGAAATCACTCGGCAAAGCATATTGATGGTTCTGGATCCACAGATCCCCGTATTTTCACGAGTGACTTCTTTATCACAGATGCTGCAGTAGAGCGGTTCAAGGACGATGTTCGGAGCCGACCTACGGACCGCTCACTTAACCGGAATGACAATTGTACGGAGAATTGGACAGCTGCCAGGTCGGTTGAAGAAGACAAGGTTTTGGTGTTCGAACAAACTGGTATTTTTATCATGGCCTGCCGGCATGGGTTTGTGGAGTGCGTTACTGAGATGAAGCGTAGCGGAGAACTGTAAGTTTTTTTTTTTCAAATCACGATACAATTGAATTAACATTCACGTTAGCGCAAAATATGGCCTTGCGGCTATCAACCACATGCTCGATGTCTGCGGGAAAGACCAGGGGTTGGGTCATGATATCGGCTGTACTTCGCGCAAAACTGTTGCCTCTAGTTCAATTGGCGCCAAGGCTCAGGAACTCAATCTCGTCATTGCCGTCAATGCGTTCCATGGCTACGCTCATAACCGTCGCTGTCAGCTAGCTCATCACCCTTTGTATCTCGAGGGTTTCGGCATCGAAGATCTGGAAACATGCGAACGCATTTTCTCAAGTTCTAACAGTGCCTGTGGGCTCATTCGACATGCGTCATATTTTCACTGGGTTCAATATCTCGATCTGCATTTCGACCAATGGGACAAAGACAAATATCTTGAGTTGAGTACGTGTTTTAGATTTGAATTTCGGCGCTTTGCTAAGTCATCATAAGGTAATTTCTTGCGCAATAATTATGCGCAAGCGCTTCGCATGATCGAGGAGTACACTCCTTTGCTTGATGAATTCAAGATGCGCAAATCCCTCACTGATGACACATTCCTTCAATGGAGGGAAGAGGAATCTGAATTCCTTGCAAACCTTGCCCTCGAACCTCCATCAGACGCCATTGCAGTAGCATATGTTGAAGAGCTGGAAAAGCTCCAGCGCGCAGAGTGAGTGACCCGCTTTATTTACACGAAGATATATGCTAATCATCAATCTAGAGCAACGTACGGCAATATGACTGGTGTGCCGTTTCTCACGTACACACCAGCCAGTTTCACACCATCGTCGGGTCTCAATTCCGAAGCTCGTCAGTCTTCCAGAACTGCCGAAGCCGAGCTTCTCGCTGCATTACGACGCCTCCGCTTACAGATGAATGTGGTTGAAGATTTCGAACGCCGCCATGGAATTAATCGACGCTGGGAGGTGTCAGACCCTCATTATCAACAAGCGCATCAGTACTCGGGCCAACGGCGCTTTGTGCGGGCGGTTGAAGAATTAGAAGGCCTAGTGGTGCAACGCATGTTTGAGCTGTCGAAGGCAAATCTCTCCAGCACAGGTATATTTATTTGTTTTATCATCATTTTTAATCTCAAGCCTCCACCAGGATACAAGATGCGCAAATATATATCTAAAACGATCACGCGACGATCTGGAGCTATCCGTACAGCACTTGAAAAGTACAACAACTTGGCGCCACTCCAAGTGCCACCCCGCCCTACCCTCGATTACATTGACGTCATAGGATATGCATCCCTCGGTGAATTTGAGCTCTTGAAGTACTCCCGCCACAATGTTATGACGAAACCATGGACTGTACCGGAAAACCGAGAGATGGCGGTCAAGTTTTTCAAAGTCTTGCGCTCACATGAAGAAATCATTCGGCTGAACGTGGAAATAGGTCGCCTTGGAGCATGGATTCAGTTTGAGGACCAGCAGATGTTGTCGGCAATAGATTCCTTGCAAGATGAGGGCTCGATGATGCTGGCCGCAGAGGTGCAGAGGGAGTTTTCAGAACGACGCCGCATCAACGATCTCCATCGCATCCGTCTACATAGCACCGCTAAACTGACTGGCTACAGTGGACCACCACCACCCTTACTACACAAGCAGGCTCTTGTTGTAGATTTGGATAACGAGGCCGAGGGTGATGATGATGAGGATAGCGACTTACATGATGAAGCTTCGAGGCTTGCAAATGTTTTATCACGTATCGTGCAGCAGTAGAATTACAGTGTACCCACGAATCAAGCTAATGAACAATGACATGATGAAGTTTCGAGGCTTGCAAATGTTTATCGCGTGTCGTGCAGCAGTAGAATTAGTGTACCCGCGAATCAAGCTAATGAACGTCTCTAAGTCTTCACTGTGACTATATGTAATTAGATGATCAGCATAGATCTTCGAAATGTTATTTTAAGGTCAATTGTGCTCCCAGGCTCGTTCCATGCTGGCGGACAGAATGCATTGCTAAACTCAAGGAAGAACATTGAGTACTAAGTCTTCAAGCATATGTACTAGTATGTAGTAAGTTATACTCGCTTCCAGTCCATGAGGCTCGCTTACAACACTGAGTCACGCCTTGAGGTTTCAACTCCTCAAGCTTTCAACATCCCACTTGCTTGTACACTAACTACCGTCAAATGCTACCACCAGACCTCAACAGTGATCATATGTCCCGCCTTGACTACTTGGATTTGGAGGTTAAGATACCGGTGAGTCTAAATCTTACTAAGGTTGAATCACTCATGCGCTATCGTTTTACAAGATCCACTTCATTGAAATCAAGCTGACGGCTGAATTCGACTTCGACCACCATGATGGCATTTTATCCATCTTTCCTAGTATCCGTTCAGCACTGCTCGCCTCCGAGCCTATCGAGGACGATGCAGAGCAACACATTCTGAACCATATGCATTCACTCTTCGCAGATTCATTCGCATGTATGGTACGCCGTCGCAAATTTAGATGGGACCGTGTTCAGCTCCCAGCAGCAATGCTTAAAAGTATGATGGTTTCTATTTTTTTCTACTGGATCTGCTAACGAAGTAATTTGTTAGGGATAGCAGCGTTAGATGAGGCTGAACGCCGGCGTTCAGCCATCCCAGACAGTCCTCTGCCTACTGTGGTCTCCAAGCGACTCACGGACACCAATATCAGCGACTCTTACATATTTCCCGATCCTCTGCCACCTGCAGTCGTCTCGCCACAACTGGCGGATGAATATGCAATGGAAGACTGGCGTTCTTCCACCAACTCCATTGACATGTCATCGGAGTCGTCTCTCTCATGCTCTACAATCACATCGCCTTATTCCACTCGCTCCTCTCTTCATTCACTGTCCGAAGATGATGCCCAGGAACATGCCCTTTTGTCCCAACCACTCCTAAGGGTACCCACTCGAACCCGGCCACACAGAGTCACCAGTACAGAAGGCCTTCCTAGCCCTGCGCCTCCTCTCTCTAGTATTACTCAGCGCACACGCCATTCTAGACGCCAAATACAAGCATCCGCCACTTCACAGTCTACGCGGACTATGATGTCTTCCTCTGTCGCCCCTTCACAGTCAATCCAAACTGTGATGTCTCCCTCCGCCACCTCTTTGCAGCCTATTGACACTATGACGTCTTCCTCTGTAAATCTTCCGCAACCAGTGTCACGCCCTTTCGTCATTTCACCGCTGTCACCTCCGGTGAAGTTTAAACCGATATCTCCCACGACGCCCAGTTCTACGCCAATGAAGTCTAAAACGATATCTCCCACAACGCCCACTTCTACGCCAATGAAGTCTAAAACGATATCTCCCACAACGCCCACTTCTACGCCAAACAAGTTATCATTAATGGGCAACCGCTCCAGTGTCGCTTCACAATCTAGCGCATCATCTTCGGCCACCAAAACACGTGGAACTCATAAGCCTGTGGGTAGTCTTAAATTTTGGGCTGTGCTAAACTCACAACCGATTAGGACTCGTCGGGTGTGAAATCCAACAGGCACAAGGAGGCCGTCAATCGGATCAATCCTGTGCAAATTGAGACAGTGACACATAGCAGGAATGAAGGTGTCTCGATCACCAATAATATTTTTTTGCTGTCAACGGATCCACGCGCTAACATGCCGAACAATGCTAGTGTTCAACGTGTATGTACGGAGATCAGCGCCATACTTCAAGGCCTCGTTTTACATCCTATCACGATGGACGAGATCTGGAAATGCATTTGTCAAGTCGACGGTTATGGACCTATCTCATGGCAATCTATCCTGGTCAAATTGGACATTCCGGAGGAGAAAATACACTCATTGCTTTTGGTGATGGCGCGTGCGAGTAATGAACGTTGTGAGTGTTTACGTTGACGTCTTGTCAAACCACATTAAAATCGTGTCGTTAGTATAGTTAGTACATGATCCAGGATCGGTTCTCTCACAGAGTCTCACTAGCTTCGAACTTTACCTGTATTTTGGTCCCGTCGTTTTGTTGAATGTAATTGCGGAGTTTCAGGATCAGTAAATGCAGTTACCGGCTTCCCTGACTTCGGCTGCTGCTGCAAGTCCAGCCATATCATAAAGAGTAGGTGCATATTTTCTTGGCTCCATTTCTTTCACAATGCCTCGAACACCAGTTACTCGAGTTCGTCGTTCACGCCCCAAACTATCCACTGAACAGAAAGCAGCTCGTCGTGACCGGCAAGAAGCTTTAACGACCGCAATCGACTCCGCAAAATCTGCCTACATAGAGGAAGCTGCTCACATCGCGGAGACTCATGGGCGGTAAGTTTTCAAGTTGGTCATTGTTTTATTCCCTCTAGCTGAATTTTTTTTAGTTCTCTGAAATGGACACGTACCCAACTCTTCTTGAAGAGTCGGATGCTCCGTCAGCACCGAAGCGTCAATTCGTGGAATGCTTTTGTCAGAGTGAAGCATATGGAAGCGAACGAAGGTAAATTCTGTGAATACCATTCAAATTTAAAGTGGCTAATATAATTGAAGGTCACGAAAAGGGTGATAGGATCAAACTTACCAAGTTCATTGCTGAAAATAGGGACGAGCTCATTCACGAGCACTCACGGCTGACGTTGGCCGAGAAACGGGCCCTCAACGCAAAAGTTGTTGAAGCAAGGCAACAAAAAAGTCATGCAGCACGTGCTAACCCCAAGGCTACTCGACACGATATGAATGCGACCTTTACGTCCATGGACCGTGAAGTAAGTCGTGTTCGAATCATTTATAAACTTATTTTCATTGATATCTTTCTCAGTGGATGGCACTTTGTGCTCGAACTGGCGCCGAAGGCTTCTACGTGGCCGTTCGTGGCAGTATTGAAGACCTCTCTGAACCGAAGATTTTTTTCACGCAGAAGGCTGAAAAATTTGTTCAGGATGTTCTGAAGGTAGAACCCCGACATCTTGGTCTCAAGCTCGAATCGTTCATCGTCAGTGGTCTCGGTAAATGTTTTCCTCGGATTCACGATTCATGACTTAATATTTGATGTAGATCAACACACGATAACTACTCGTCCGCGCCCTTTGAACAAACTCGTCAGTGACTGTCGTACATTGATTCAGGAGGAACTCGGTAAGTTGCTTGTCGTCTCCCAGTGTGCACTCGATGATTAGTGTGATCCCCCAGAGGCCATTGCCTTGGAGCACAACATTAAGGGTAAGGTGAATATGAATTACATGAATTATGAACGAAACATTGTTGAGCATTATGGCTTGGCACTTGTGAACTGGCCGCTGTCCGGTCATGTTCGGAATCCTTCGAAAGTCGGCGGGCGGGCCCAAGTGCAGAGTTTGCTTGATGCTCTGAAGTCCCGGTCTTGTGAGTGGGTCATGCTCACGGACGAAGAGCGTGTCACGCGCATGAAGGACAACCGAGAGCGGCATGCACGAGGGGAGCTTGTCTATGTTGCGAGGAAGGCGAGGAAGATTGCTGCTGCCTCGCAACACAAGAGCAACGAGACAGTTGATTCAAGTAGCGAGGATGACACTAGTAGTGACAGCGAGTAGCATAGTACACTGAACTTAATGGTTTTGGTTCAAACATTGACTTGATTAGCTTGCAAGGCAAGAAACATAGTATAGATACATATAAACGATCTCTGAATACATTAGGTAGTTCATACACCAACAGCCGCTGCAAAAACAGTTGAATTTGAAGGGTATTTCGGTGCTCATCGTGCCCGACGATGAGCACGAAGGTTTGAAGGACGTGGGAAATAACGAGGAAGTGTCGGGAAGTAGCGGCAATATGTTGCCGGCAGTAACCGCCATTCTCGGCTTTGCCCGATAAGGGAGATAAGCGCTAGATGATCATATCTTATCTAACAGAGTTTTCTACCTACCTAAGTGACTGCCGAGTGCTGCGGAACTCGCTGAAGTACCGCAGCATAGACTTCCGCCCCTAGTTAGTAACACACATCACATCACATGTTCGTTACTAATTAGTAATAATAATGGTGTCACACAGGTGCACTTGAGTGGGGTCAGGGCATGGGACTCACAAAAATGGCGGACAGTATGCCTACGAGTACAATCCTATTGTTGTTCCACAGTGCACACGTTCTGAGCACAAAAAAGCCTGGATGAATCAGATCAGGAGCACCATCAGGAAAACCCTCCCATGTAAACTTAGAACTATTTAGCTGAATTTTCGATAATTGCACAAATTAACACAATTTAGCTCTAGGAACTATAGTCTAGCACAAGTTAATGATAATTGTCTGCAACTAGCGCAATGTTACAAAACTATGTCTGTCCAAGTATGGATTTACAAAGAACGAAGGACACTCATCAGTAAATTACCAGGCTCTGTACAGATCTGTACAGATCTGGACAGCGCGCCATACGTACAGCTTGGTCCCTACTAGCTAGTTTGCCACAGTAGAACTTTTGCTGTAGATCTCTGCACAGACACCCACAGACCCGCCCAGTAAGGACCAAAATAATTCTCTGTCCGTCTGTACAGATCTGTCCAGGATGTTTGCACAGATACTCACAAACCACTCAGAAGGGTGTTAAATATCATCATTAGTCTCTGTAGAGATCTGTCCATGTGTGCACAGACACTCACAAACCACTCAGAAGGTGGCTTACTTGGCTCGGGAACAGTAGCAAACAAATGACGATATATTCGATCAGCGTGAAACAATACTAGCGGACGACAAGCGACAAGAGAAAAACGTATGCAAGGATATGATGTGATGATTAATACTACGAAAAATGCCGCCAGGGGGCTCAATCAAGCTGGACGCGCAGGTGACGATGTTTCGACGTGTCAACGCCGTCGAGTTTGGATGCCTCCGCCCTGGATGAATTCGTTAGGGCTGAATGTGATGTTAAAAGACTACTTACCATCCAATCTTGGCCCATTCACGAAGCTGCTGCACCAGCTTCGGACCGTGATATGGATCACTCATGACATCATTGAGTAGCCCAAGCAACCAAAGATAAACGGACTCGTACTCCTTGGCAGCGAACTTTGAATAAAACTTGCCGTTACCATTTTTCTCGAGGCCCTGGAAGACGCAATCAAACTGAAATAATGTGTCAGAACAATGACACGTCAATATCGAGGACGTACCACAGTGCAAACGAGAGCTAAGCATGTTAATGGTACCTCCTTCCGAAAAATGGCTGGTCGCCTACGAGCAATGCGATAAGATCCTGTGTAGAAGAATAAGATGATGGCCTCCAGAAGCGCAGGGTGCGCAAAATTTTTAGTCTTCCCGAACTCGTCTAGTCCATGGCGCATAAATTTACCATCGTCGAGTAATTCTACAGCTGCGGCTTGAACCCAAGCTGCACGCACTTGAACGGGAATGTCGTCTGGCGGGGAAAGGCCATATGCGGAAGGTGTGATGGAGATGGCAATTTTCTTTAGATCGGAGCGCCAGGTTGCTAAGTCGTCATACAGCTAGAAAAAAAATAAGACACTAGGCGCACAACAAAATAGACATACGCACCAGCCTCGCCATGTCAGGCTTATGAGTGGGCCACACACCTGGTAGACACCTCGAGTCAGCAGAATGTCTCGAGGGAAATAGTAGCTTACCGGCATCAACTTGTTGACCATTTTTAAGCCATTGGACGAGAGAGGCCGAGAGCGACTCTGTGATTGCGACCGGGAGATCATCAACAAGGCTTGGAAAAGGGTTCTCCAGTGCCTGCTGGGCACGACACTCCACCTTTGCGTCCTCGAGAAAGGCCTTCCAGTGTGGACTGTACCAACCCAGTTGGGTAGCCTTGGGCCCTTCTGTTTCACCTTCGAATTGGAGGTATCTATCTCGGCAGCACGAAGAAGCTCCAGTAGAGCAGGATCAGGAAGTCGGGGATGGCTGTTTCTCTCATGGTGAAGCTTCAAGACGTCATTGGGCTGGAACGGAAAATTAGCGTACTCCAACAAATAAGCGGGCTTGTACCTCTTGATCCATCGTTGAACTATCATCGCCCGAATCACTACCGACTGCCAAAGTCTTCTCAGCAACCTGGTCACTTTCGTCGCGAGAATACTGGAATTCAAAGTCTGTTGGAAGAGCAGTTGCCACCCGAGGTTGGGGTGGTAGCTCTTCCCTCGAGAAACCTGCGACTTTTTAATTAACTTGAAGGGAAACATGCGAAAACTTACCAGGGTGTGTACTATGATGCCCACGGGCTTCTCCCCAACCCATTTCCTCGTCTCCGCTACCCTCATCCGACCCAGACGAATCATCCTTGGACGTGTTGGATTGTTCGGACTCTGCACCCGACGGTCCAGTCGGCCGGAGGGCAGGATCTAAATTCTGGAAAAAGTTAGCGTCTGATAGCAGCACGGTATTTGAAGTGGTGCTGGAGAGTGCTGGGTCTTTAACGTTAGAAGTAGTGACAGTGCGATGACCTTGGGGGGCGTTGGGGTTAATGACTGGAACGTGACGTTGGGACGTGTCAACACGGGTCTGTTCGACGTTAGAAGTAGGGATGGTGCGATGGCCTTGGGGGGCGTTGGGGTTGGTAATTGGAACATGACGTTGGGACGTGTCGACACGAGTCTGATGGGTCTGTTCGACGTTAGAAGTAGTGACAGTGCGATGGCCTTGGGGGGCTTTGGGGTTGGTAACCGGAACGTGACATTGGGACGTGTCGACACAAGTCTGGGAATGATTGGGATCAGGCAGGGCGTGTGCGCCCTTGGCTGCAGCCACGAAGGAATTGTTTAGCGCTTGGAGATCCGGTTCTGTGCCGGGAGGGACAATTGGTGGCGAAAATCTGTATCGTCCATGAGCTTCCCGTTGTGTAAAAGTAGGTTGAGAGTTCAATAACTCGAACATTGGGGCAGGAATGACAGGAGCCTGCATAGAAAATTAATGCGTGATCGTTCGCGCATTAAAAACTCACCTTGTTTTTCTTCGAGTGTGATTTGGAAGTCGTGGTGCTCGGTTCTTCTGAAGGGCTATACGGCGGAGGGGGCTGCTGTCTCTTCTGCATGTCTTGTTAGTATTGTTCAATACAAACAAGAGAAAAGATACCTTGGGACGACTCCCACCACCCTTGCGAGGTGGTTTTGGAGCGAGAGGGTTTTCAGGAGCGTCCGGATCAAGGGAGGTGGCAGCCTTGGGTGTGCTGGTCCGTGCTGGAGCATGCAAAATAGCGCTCACTTTCTCCAGTTGTGTGCTCCTACCTCCTGTCCCTGCACCTTGACGTCCTGTTCGTCGAAGTTGTTGTGAGTCGTCGACTTCATCGATAATCGACTGAGACTGAGCACGCGCTCTCTTTGCCAGAGCTGCTTTCCCTTCCGGTGCCTTGGGATCAGAGTCCGACGCTTTGCGCTTCGACTTCTTTCTCTTAGGGCTTCCAGGCATGACAAGGGAAGGAGGGAAATGAGCCACCACACCGACAATTTACCAACACTCACCTTTTAAATCTTAGCCGCCATCACACCTTGAAAAGCACTTGAAATTTACGTGTGCCAAATGTAATACAGCGCAGGTTGATGGAGTTTACGGATCTGTTCTTGAGGGCGAGTCAGAATCAGTAGGCTGAGAGAAAATGTGCAGCACCTCCTTTCGTCGGACTTTGAGTACTATGGTATTACATAGCCGATCGCAAGGCATCATGTTGCAGAGTGACTCGAAACTTGAGTGGGAACAATTTAATGTACATGTAAACGTAAGCAGGGCATAACTATGTAAGCGCGAGAAAATTCAGATTGTCGTAAACGTAAATTAAGTAGTTCTGCTTCGCTTGGGCTGGGGTGCAACTTCCATCGTCCAGCCCATCCGACCGTGGATAATGTTACGTTCTGTATTCGGCGGTTCGTTTATATACTTATCCCGATCATCATCACCCTCAAGGTCACTCGCGTGTCTCTTTTTCGGGAGTGCCGCGATGAACTTCTTTGCAAATAGAAGCTCAGGGGAAGGCTCGTCCTTCGGAAGTTCAGCGAGATGCGTTTCCAACAGATCGAGGACCTCCCCGAAAGTAACTGCACTTGATGGCCCTTTGTTCCTGATCAAGTCATACCATTGTGTCGCGAGTGGGATTAGCGTGTCGAAGTAGGGGTGAAATTGTTTCTTGAGTTTGTCTGCATTGGGGTGGAAAAAAAACGAAGTCTTCACATCGCTGCCTGCTTTGAACGTGTCGGCGGACCATAGATGCGGCAACCACTCTTGACTCCTATCAGCCGACAGATCGCGTTTAACTCCAAGGGGACCCCTGTATTCAATGCAGATGCACACGAAAACGTAAAAAAGCGATTCGAGATCGTCATGGTAGTGTTGTAGGATAAGGGGGGGCGGTTTTGTGAGGGAAGACGTGGCAAGCTTCGCCTTCCAGCTGCGAGCAGATGTTGCAACATCGCCAACAGCCTCTGAGAGTTGCCACAGAAGCGAACAGTGACATAAAAGGTAATGTGCCCTATCGTTTGCTGTGAGCACATCGAGTCTTATAGAAATAAATTGGTACTGACCGTCCCACCGATAGTGTATTTTCGACCCGCATCAATATGGACAGCGAATTCCCAATCGATCAAGAGTCCATTGGTCCCGTCGCCATCATCCTCAATCATAGCGTTATTAAGGCTGCAGTCACGGTGAAGAACTCCACGATCCTCGACCGCTGTACGTTGAACTGAGAAACATGTCAGTAAACTCGGCAAGACGGACTAGATATAAACGATTACTCACCTATGACAATGTCCCGAAGAGCGCTCACTAACTCTAACTTTGTCCGGAACGCATGCAAAGGTCGAGCGCGAGGCTTCAAAACCAAACGAACGTGCGTACGAGAGGTCCCTTTGATACTTCCCAAAACCTTGTATCGATAATTCATTGTTTCATCAACCTCATTGGGCGCGATCTCAACAAGCCAATATTCCACTAGTTCTGGCACACCACGGACTCCTTGCATCTCCCGCAGCATCCTAACCTCGTTCAACGCCGCATCTTTACCCCCAAGGACCCAATGATCCTTGATGATGTATTCTTCATCGTCCCTCCTCGCTAAATAACAGACGGTGCCGCGCCCAACAAGCCCCTGACTGGAGAATATGACTTCGAGGATATCGTACGTGTGGTCGTTCACTGTGATCCTGCCAATCGGGTCTGAAAAAGATCTGCGAAGAGGATCTTCGGGCATTTCTAGCTGAGGGGGGTCTTGAGAGAGGCTCTCCTCGAAACTCGAGCTCATCTCTACGTCTGAGTCCATCTCCGAGTCAGACTCAGCCTGAGGTTCGTCGATAATCTTCTTGGGTCCAGTGCCTTCTGGACCTTTCGTGGAACTGCGCACTTGAGCTCGTGAGGGTGGTTTGTCCACAGAAGGGCGAAAAATCGGATTTTCAAGCTGAGCAGGGCGAAGCGTCTTCGTGAATATACTGATTGAAGGATCGTACCCGATACAATCAAGATTGCCGAAGACGACACCGGATAAGATGTATAGGAAATGGTTTGGAGCGCTGTCGATATGGATGGGAGGCGTCACAACACCACCTGCGTGATCGTACATGTGAACTCGCAATTCACGATATTCGTGGGTAAGGGAGAAGAGCAAAACAAACCGCCTCCAAGGTTGGCGTCTCAAGAGAAGGTAAGCCTTGCTGTCGATCGTCTTTCCAATCGTCCCTGTAGGAGTGTACAGTTGCGACGTCAACTCGCAGACTGCCTTGATGGTGTCCCACCGAGCCTCCACGTCATCCAACAGTGCAAGGTCTGGCTTCCGCGAGACTTCTTTATCCTTTACAGGACGTGTGGAGTTTTGTGAGCTCCAAGTGCGAGTCACTGCTCCGATGTTTTCCTTTATGATCTCCTTTCTCCTCATCTTGGCAACAGCACCACATGCGGTGTTAAAGAACGACGAGAAGATGTCTTCCAAGGTGTGTGGTTTCGAGCTGGTATCTTCAAGTTGACTTGACGGGTCCTCGCCACTGGATTCCTCCGAGTCGCTCGCACTGCTACCCCCCCCCTCTGTCTCTCCCCTCTTCAAGATCGGGTAACTGAATGATGCCGGATTCACGATGGCATTTTGGAAGTGCCCAGTTCCATTTACAGTTCTCTGTATCATACAAGGGAACCATGGACTGTTCATGAAGGTGAGCGAATTTATTGTGTAGTCTGGTGTCGCGATAACGAATTTTATGTAATGGCACCTGGAGTTCTGTAACATCTGGGACTTTAAAGGTGAATGTCCTGAAAATCCGCGATAACATATGACTGAGAGCCTTGGGCTGATCTGCATTGGTTGGTTCTTCTTCTTCTACAATTAACTGATTAAGCTCGAGATCGGTGAGTTTGTCCATCGTAGGCACGTCGCTGACACGGGGAGCCGACATCAACGACGCCAACTTTATCCCGAAGTCTACCGTTTTGCTGTGTTCTGCGGGGGGCATGACTGAGGCTTGAAGTACAAGTACCAGAAAAAATTGTCGCATTTTGCAATGGAGTCCACAGCTACATGGTGCGTCTTTTAGTCTACGAAAATGGTACTTATTGAGTATGAAAGCGCATGGTACTTCTACTCGGATAACGCACAAAATGAATGTTTGTCCCAAAAAAAAATTTAACCGAAACTCCCTTTCAACATCACATTTGGCCCTAACAAATTCATCCAGGGCGGAGGCATCCAAACTCGACAGCGGTTGACACGTCAAAACATCGTCACCTGTGCGTCCAGCTTGATTGAGCCCCCTGGCGGCATTTTTCATAGTATCAATCATTGCATCATATCCTCGCATACATTTTTCTCTTGTCGCTTGTCGTCCGCTAATATGCATAAATGAGGACAGCATAAAACATATAAACATGAAAGACTCTATGAATCAATCGAGAACTATCGCGCCTTGTCGTCCGTGCAAACCTTCCATACCTGAAGCGTTAGAATCAACAACATTGCAGAAGAACACGCACACGCACCACGCGAACTTGATTGACCTTGTCCTCGTGGCGGATGGTTGGGAGGGACGTGGGACCAACCGTGATCTTTGAAGACGATTCTCATACATCCCAGCCCGATATCTGTCTCATCTATCTTCCTCTCGGCTTCTGCTGCGCGAACTTTAAGCAGGCTTGCAAGCACCTCATTTTCCCGTATTACGCAATCTGCAAGCGCCTTCTGAGCCGTGAAAACATCACGCTTGGCTCTTACAAGATCAAGCACAAGGCTTGCTTCAGAGTCAGTTGGTTCATGGACTCCTCCCTATGGAATATAAGGTGTGATAAAGAATGCCAGAAATGATGTACAACGACTCACAATTGAATTGACGGCTTCAAGAATTTCGTATAGGTCACCTATACCGCGAGGCGCTCCCCCATTGCATTCATCGATAGAGCGAGAATAACGAGTATAATCGTCAGAGCAGGAAGCAAGCGCTGACAGTGATTGTAGAGTAGTAATATCAAACTTAGACGGTGAAGATAACATGAGAACTTAGGAATGGTCATCGGAAAATGCCGAATTCAGATCAACTTGCTTTTTCTCAAGTCCGCGATCCAGATATCAATATCAGCGCGCTATGGCACCAGCCCATTGCCCATCGTGTGGAAAACAATTCAGGGACCATACCTCTGTCGCTCGCCATATGAGCCAACCTCGGTCTGGATGCAACAACTGGCTAGATGATTTAATTCGACTGAACTCCACCTTGCCGCTCACTGGACATGATCCCATGGTGGTGGACAATGTCAGCAACACTCATGAACAAGGAGAGCCTGAGGATGAGAGTTACTACGATTTTGGGAGCCAAGGAGAGGATTTGGACTCTGGAGGCGGAACGAGGAACGAGGACAGTGAGGCCAAAGTAACCGATCACTTTCCGGAGCCCCCACTAGCTTTTGACGAGGGCTACACGTTTTTGCGCCTATTCGATGCTGACGAAAACAGCATCTATCGTAAAACGAATCTTTACTATCCGTTCAGTGGTCGAAGGGAATGGCAACTAGCTGCATGGATTCTGCGTTCCGGCTTGAGTATGGAGAAAATCAATTCTCTCCTTGCGCTAGAGATGGTAGGTGGTTAATTTAAATATCACCATGGCGGGCACAAGAATATCTACCTCGAGAGGCGAGCTAGTAGAATCGTCCCTTAGGGGATGCTACTGAGTCAATCTCTCTAAATAATGAGAGGGATCAAGAGAAAGGCTCAAGTCGGAAGGTGCGCGAAGGTGCGCGGGAACACACGAGGCTGATGTGATGAACGCGCGAGCCGTGCGGAAGGGTCGGAATGCGCGCGGTACGTGCGCGATGGGAGAAGAGTTGCAGAGGATCGTAGGAGCTCCCTTTGGATGAGGAACGAGACTTCACAAGACAAAGAAGATGATAGACAATGACTGCAATGATATTAGCGCTCTAAGCGCGACTAGACAGGAAACTGATAGTGAGTCCAAGTAAGGGAAAAGTAAGTAAGTCCGAAATCCTCTGAGTCTTCTAGATATGTAGGTCACTACGCGAGCTCTCAGGGTATTGAGACGTAAGGGAAGCGGATAGGCTGCGCGGAAGCGCGCAAGGAAGCGGATAAGTATGTAACACTATGTAAAAGACCCTCGGCTTCGCTGAAATAGTACTTAGATTGGTGATCTACCTTTATCCTTCCACTCAGCAAGAGAGCTACGAGGTCGAGCTGAATCGCTGCCTAGCGGTCCACGTTGGAAGTCGCAAGTTATTCCAACATCACATCCCACAAAGTCTCCGGCTGTTCTCTACTGGCGGGATCCACTTGAATGTATCGCCACCATATTCAATCATCCTTTATTCCATAATCGCATCGACTATGCGCCTCGCAAGGTTTACAGCACAGCGCAGAAGCTCTCTCGGATATATACTGAATGGATGACAGGTGGTCATGCCTGGGAGATGCAGGTGCGTAATATGGCTCTCTTGAAGTCATCGTCTCATGTATTCTTCAAGTCTGCGCTTCCCCATGGCGCAACTCTCCTCGGTACTATTATATCCTCAGACAAGACGTGCATTACTGCATTGTCAGGCGATCGTGTTGCACATCCTCTCCTTATCAGCCTCACCAACATCCACATGGCCACGTGGCTCAAATCATCCTCCAATGCTTTCCTTCTCACCGCCCTACTGCCGGTCGCAAAATTCATTCACAAGAACAAACAAATGCAAGGCATGTTACAGGATCGGCTCATTCATCACTGCTTGAACATCGTACTACAACCGCTGAAGTTGGCTGCTCAAAGCGGCGTAATGCTGTCAGATCCCATCAGTCGCAGTCGTTACTGCTTTACTGTACTCGCTAGCTATATTGCCGACACCCCTGAAGCCATGATGCTGGCATGCGTCGGTGGAAAAACGTCCCCAATTACCATGGCAATGTACAAACAATTCGGGGACGCCTTCCAACACGAACCCCGGACACGATCAAAGACTCTCGAGCAACTGGAAATCGTACGTTCATGCGCTCATCCAGATGATCTCGAGGAGTTTTTCCGTGAAGCGCAGAAGTTTCGCCTAAATGGCGTGGATAAACCATTCTGGTGGGACTGGCTGCTAGCGGAACCCTCCCGGTTTTTTACGCCTGAATCACTGCACCATATTCACAAGAAGTTTTGGGACCATGATGCGCAGTGGATTATCCTCGCAGTGGGAGGGTCCGAGATAGATTTCCGATTTTCGATCATACAGCCCACTACTGGTTATCGGCACTTTTACTCAGGCATCTCAAAACTCAAGCAGGTTACGGGTCGTTGTCACCGAGACGTGCAGCGATCAATCATCGCAGTCAGTGCGGATGCAGCACCTCCTGGTGTTATTGTTGCTGTACGCGCGCTCATGCACTTCAATTATCTTGTGCAGTCACCGTGCATTGATGACAAGGATCTCGGTCACATTGCAGCCGCACTAGACGAGTTCCATGCGAACAAACAATCGATCATCGCTGCTGGTGTCCACCAAGGAAAAGGCGGTAAAACCATCGACAACTGGCAGATTCCCAAACTCGAGCTAATGCAGAGTATCGTCACCAGTATCCGCAACTCCGGTGTCATAGCACAGTGGTCTGCAGATGTCACCGAGCACACACACATCACCGAGGTCAAAGACCCTGCGTGATCCAGCAACAACAACAACTACGACCCGCAAATTTGTCGTTATCTTGATCACGCCGATAAGTGCAATCGATTTGACCTCGCTACTAGCCTGTTAGATCGCTGCGACGACCCGGGAGTTGTTGGGGAGGAAAGTGCTGAGGAGGATGACGAGCTTGATGATGACGCAAACGGCTTTCCTGCAGAGCTACTCTCCTCAAGTCGAAGTCCCGGACAACCTCGTCCTATCACAGATTACTTTTCAATCGCGAAAATACTCCAAGCAAAGAAAGTTGGATTGGTACCATTCCCACTTCGTTCTTTTGTCGTCGGGCGCACTGTGCTTAATCTTGCTTACCATCCATCTATCAAGCATGCTACTGTCGATGAAATCGCCATTATGTTCGGCCTACCTGACTTGCGACCGGCTATCGCCGATTTTCTTCACCGTGAGGCGACCTATGGCAATCATATCCACTCCATAGGTGGTCCTAGAAGGGCTGCGCATGGCGCTGAGCTACCATTTGACAAAGTTCAAGTGTGGTTCAAAATTCGTTTGCAGGAGACCGAGTTTCACAATCCCCATAACATTCGACGCGCTCAAACGCTTAATTGCGCACCACCTAGTGACCCTTGGACCTTAGGTCGTTACGATCCAGTCATTATTCAGACCAGCTCTGGTCATTCCTGGCCTGCCAGCAGCCTTTCAGGTACGTTCTTTCTGTCTTTACTCGCAATAATTACTAAGCTAAAGAATGATCTCCCACAGGGCACTCCATTGCGCAAATCAGGCTTGTCATTCGGCCTCTTGGCAGAAGCGGGACACGATGGGCTTGGGACGATCAATACTTAACTTACGTCCAACGGTTCGATATCTCCAGCGAACGCGATCCAACCACTCAGTTGCATACACTGAAAAGAGCGAAGCGCTCTAATGGTACACGGATGGGCGACATCATTCCAGTCTCTCAGCTTCGAGCGCCAGTCCATCTTGTTCCACGTTTTGGTGCTACTGCAGACACGCGTCTCCCGGCATATAATAGCATGGAGCACGCGAGGGAGTTTTGGTTGAACTACTTTTGGGACAAGCATTCATTTTTTGCATTATCCGAGTAGACTAAAACATACAACATGTACTTGGGATTCCGTTGTAGAATGTGACATTTTTTTCTGAGGTACGAAAATAAAGTTGGCCGCAGCGTCGTTGATGTCGGCTCCCCTTATCAGTGACATGCCTGCGCTGGACAAACTCATCGATCTCGAGCTTAATCAGTTACTATCTTAGAAGAAGCACCAACCAATGCAGACCAGCCCCAGGCTCTCAGTCATAGTAATTTATGCCGCTAGTACTACTTGGAATACAATACTTCATACTAGTATACTTACTACTTAGTTGTAAGGTGCAGTAGGAACACCATTCCTTGTAAGTCCTGTTGAACTGTGAGCGACTGAAAGTGCTGCATTACTATTCACTGTGAGCCTGCGTGAACTGTGGAGTCCTGTGGTTTGCTGCCGCAAGACCCCAAGTGTGTGACCTCTGTGAGAAAGTTGTAGTTTACTGATGCTCGTCGAGAACATTAGTAGAACTCCATTCACGGGGGGCAATGGGGCCAAAATGTGGAATTAGATGTGCACTGCGATGAATGTTGCTGATTGGAACAATGCTAGCTATTCGTTCTCCGTTTTTGATGGTGCGTGAGACTTTGCGCAAGCCATGATTGCGATCAGGTGCCTGGAAAGCGGAGAACCATTCCACGTAGGCAAGGTGCTTTGGAGGTCGGAAATTTGATGGAAAGAGTATAGGGATAGCTTTGGGAGGGATCGAGAAGATCAAACGGACTTGTCCAATTCGATATCCTGTATAAATGACGAGTATCAATATCATGCAATGACCGGCTCGGAGAGCTCACCTTTGATACCAAGTGTCCCACCTGTGCCATCATTAACAAATGCAGTATCGAAACGAGATGCGACACTGTCCGATGCAAATGGTCTCGAACGTCCAGGACGTGCATGTACACTATCAACTGTGGCTGGGGGATCACCCTGGCCACGAACATCAACTGACACCCACTTCACCTTGTGAAAGACGGGCAGGGTTCGAAATGGGATGTATATGTCAGCAGCTTGATCTTCGAGCTGCCTAGGCCTAATAGTAGTGTTTGTAGGAAGGGTGGCTTTCACAACGTAGTGTGCGAGAGATTCACGAAAATATGTGGCGCCATATTCGTTCACAACCTTGTCCAATGTGACTGCCTTGATGCTCGGATGCTTTGACATTGTCTGAGTACAAAGAAATGACATCTCTGGAGGATGAGGCTGACGACCTGGGTGATGCGCAGTGCCTGCAATGAGTCTCCATTGAATATATGTCTCGTGGCGTAGTATTTTCTCCCTCCGTTCAAGCCAGGTTGTCATTTGCGCAAACTCATTCTTGTGGTTTGTCGAACGATACGCATCTTTAGCGAGGTCGATGTGAAGGTGTTCCGTGTATTCGGTATTGTAATTATCCGTTGTGCCGTACGAGAACTAGAGATAAAATAGAGAGCAAAGATGTTATGTGTACGCTAACGCTCAACGATGTCACCAATTGCCTTATGTGTCCGAAGTGCAACTACACACATAATCTCTTGTTTTTACTCTACCTCAATCACAACTCGTTGGTATGTCTTGAAACTTCGCATACTGATACTTCTAGATGTATTCTATCCTATCCTGACATCTATGGGTGTATATACCTACCCAGAGATCTCTGGTAGCAAGGTGAGTGGTTTTCACTCCTGTTCAACACTCTTTCTTAATAACTCGTCCTCCTCTTTTTTGTTATTCTTACACTGTATCTCTGATAGCCATTTTTCCGCCTATGTAGGCCGCTCATATGACTCTATTAGTGTATAGATACACTCCCTGAAGACCGCTTTGGTGCGCCTTTCATTGGTGAGTGCCTGTCTCCATTTTTGTGTCACTCTCAGTTCACCTCCTTGTCTTTTCGCATTTTTTGAACCTAGCCACCTTCTATTGACTTCTCCCTCACTCAGGTATCATTATAGGATGTATCTAAACGATTCACTGACCCACAGAACTATTCTCCTTCCCTTCCTCCTTCTCCTCCCTCCATTTCCCCCTCTGAATGTCCTCCCTAGCCCTCAGACGATAAAGTTTGACTTATATTTCTATCTACATATGTTCTAATTATTATTTGACATATTTCCGACCAGATAATGAGATCCCTGGGGCGCTGGATGCAGTGGAGAAGGCTTTATACTTGTGTAACATATATATATTCATATATGCTTACTCTACAGGTATACAGGCTTAATAGAAGCGAATTAAATCTATATTACTGATGTACTAGATGGTGCTACAAAAAAAGTAGAAAGAAATGTGTTGTAATGATGATATAGTTGAGCTCGCTGTTGCTCACAGTGAACACGAGCCTTTCGGCAACGTGCAGCATGACAGCGCGCCGTGGGAACGACCGACCTGCATTGCTTACCTATTTCGGTCGTTGCATTATTTTACCGTTGGGAACATGTTATCTAAGCCACGGTTTTTTCGTGGTGTGCACCGGCGGTGCTCAGTAGGAATGAATTCTAGCTTACTAAAGGGGACACTTATGCCCCGTCTGTCCTCTTTACTAAGAAGGAAATATGGGAAGTATAGGTGTGATACCCTTCATAAAAAGTCGGATGTGGTGATTTGGGGGTAGGCGTCGACATCGTGCGTCAATCTCCGCACCACCACATGCATCAGAAAGCCAAGCGAGAAGATGTTTCACGAGTCCTTGGTACAGCTGATGTAGGATATCGGGGGTGATAGATTCGAATATGTTGACAAATGGCAGTCCCTCCCAGAATGGGTGAACAATCGGCTTGATGCCGGCGTCGGTACATGCACGAACAAAGGCCAATCCACCTTCGTCAAGAGCACGGAGGGCATCAAGGACTGCATCCAAGTTTCGTGGTTGGTAGTTTGCAGCGCCAGCTGCCAGACCAAGCTCTGCTGACGGAACGTCACAGCTCGGACATTGAGTAGTCTTGACTGCAGTCGCTAACACTTGCTCGGGATAATCTCCCACAAAGCACGCAAACAGGGGATGGGTTCTATGCATAGCCCCATTGCCACTTCGCATGTTGATTCCATCGATGCCTGCAGCTGCAAGTGGAGCAAGTACACGCCCCACACAAGCATGGTAAAGGTTGGCAAGCATGCGGCGGCGAGAGGCTTTGTTCATTACATGTTCAAGACGGGTGGTTGGGAGGTATGCGAGGAGGACGTGAGCATGACGTGAGGGTTTTCGATGTATCTCTTTCGGAATGTTGCCAATCGTCATGTATACTGGGTACGTCGTCTTGTTGCGAAACATCGTGACCTGCGTCTTGTCCGATGAGATGATGACAGGAATTATTGTCGCGCCAGGAAGCATGCGGTCTAGGTGTTTCTACAAATACAGTGTTAGTCTACTGTTGCGTGACGACTTTGCAAAATTTGTACCTGAGAATTCCACCACCATTTCCCCGTATGCATCTCATGATATAAACGAATTGTTTCATCTCCGTCAGCGTAATGGCGCTCGGGTGCGAAGGTGAGAAAGTCGGCGAATTTCGAGTCACCAAAGAGAGCTTGAATACACGCGATGATATCTCGATAATAGACATCGAATGCTTCATCAGCCACTACAATCTGTTCTCGTCTGAATCTTGGACGGCCCGGAAGTTCGTCATCAATGATCTTGTTTAGTTCGCGTGCATTCTTGAAGGAGAGGCCAATTTTGTCACCGAGCTGGAAGTGTTATGATTAGACTAATACTAGTTTTTGAAAGTACCATAGACTTACACCCTCGATGGAAACGAGCTCTGAGAACGCAGTTGAACTCGAACCTCGTAATTTCGCCCATCGGGCCACCTCCCAATCAAGCTTCGAAGCAAACGGAGCATATACATTATCTGCACCTGGTCCGTCAAGTTGGGCATGATAGGTTGTGTTGCTCAATTCCTTGGTTGAATCGATCGGCTGCCCAGCTCGTTGGTCAGGATATTGGACAACTGTAGGTACCTGTTCATGGTCGCGAAGTCGTTGTTGTACTCTGTGCTGGGCATCTGATTCTGATTCTTGTGCATCGGAGGTAGGTGTGTCTGGGATGTTGGCATGTTCGCCACGTTCTTCTTCGTCCTGCCCGTCACGGTCATGGTCATGGTGTGCGGATTGGGGCAGTGGTGCTGCGGGAGGTTCCCATTCATCCTGCGCATCGCCGCCATAATTTGATTCCTCTTCATCCGAACGTGTATCACCCACATCTCCCCCACCATCAAACTCCTCTGGCCATTCCAATTCATCCTCGCCGTATGTCCCAAAGAAATCTCCTGCAAAGTGCGGCGACCGATTTGGGTCAGGTTCATCTCCGAGCTCTATATCCAGATCATTTTCCACTGGGTCTGGAGCAGGCGGGTTTGTAGGAAATTGACGTGAGGCAAGGTAAAGATGCACGACAAGCTGGATTGGTGGTTTTTGCGAGGTGCTTGCTGTATCCAGATATCGATGCAAGCGTTTTAGTTGCAGGCAGGACATATCAGTTTCGGGCATGTTCTAGGTAGATTTGATGAGAAATATTGAATACTGAATGTCCTAAAAATTCACTTACAAAATGCCAGTTGCAAGCGCATACACGTCAGAGAAGGGAGGTGGTGTGCATGAGCTGAGCTGAGGTGCTGTCCGAGTGGGAACGTGTTGTCCTTGTGGTGTACCGCAAAGCACCGAGTTTGGAAGCTCGCAGTTGCCGGTTGTATTGATTCGAAGGGCCTTTAGACAGGTGCCAGGGATATCTCCATCAGAGGGAACGTGTTGGCCTCGTGGCATACCGCAAAGCACCGACTCTGGAAGTTCATAGTTGTACCCATTCGAAGGGTCTTCAGACAGGCACAAGGGAGATCTCCGTCAGATTATCTTCAGACAGGCACAAGGGAGATCTCCATCAGATTATGCATCATCTGCATGCCTTCAATCAATGATGTCATGATGAAAATCAGAGAGTCACTTACCGTTTATGGTCTGAGATCAATTTCGTCCATTTTTTGCTGCTGGAGGTCTTCATCGTTCACTTTGCGCCCTTGTCCTTGGAGAACAACCTGACCTTCATCTACGAGGTCTTCAGGGTCATCATTGAGGATCTTGGTTTCGAGGGTAGATATACTGCGGTACAACCTTTTGAGTTGAACTGCGAATGCATTGTTGCTGGGATTCTCGCAAGGTTTGCTATCAAATAATGCCGATGACGTGGAGGAATTGTCGGTCGTGCCAGAAGAAAGAGCGAGATTAGAAGACATCGAATGGGTGTAGGAAGAATATCCGCAGCAGGCTCAAAAACAAAATGAGGGGTGAGAGTCGCAAGGAATATCTTGGTTTGCAACATTGAGAACTTCCAGCCTGGACAAGCGTGTGGACCGAATGAGAATGTCATCAGGTTCGCGATTCCTGGATGCGAGGGAGCTCGTGCGGTGTGAGGCAGAGAAACCCAGCGATCAGGGCTGCAAGGTTTTTTTTTAGGACAACGGTGTAACGAGGAAGATTACACTTACTTGAATATTCTTGCATTCTTGCCCCAGATGTCAGTGCTAAAGTTCGAAGCCTCGATGGGAATGTGCACATAAGAGCCTTTGCGGATATGGATGGTCTCGCCCGGGTGAATAATTGTACCATTATGGAGGACTATGGACAAAGATATTGGGATGTTGTCACTGGCGCAAGCGGTCCGGCTGTAAAAGTTGTCAAGAAGTGTCATGCTGCGCTCGCATTCCACGAAGAAGACAGTGAAGAGAAACGCATGGACGTAGATGACGAAGGCGATCCACAGGCATCTCCAGCTCTATCAGACGCACATACCCCTGTGGAACTACCAGTGTCATTCAAACTAGCGATGGAACTTGCGTTTTCAATGCTGTCATTCGTTTATGGAATACCCCTAACCAGGTATGAGAATTTCGGCCATCAGGTAAATAAAATAAAATTAGGATGCCCTACCACAGACTATATAAGCTTCAATTTGTATACTGGGCGATGATGACGCCGATACTATACGGGCGGTACAGTCCTCCATACCTGGTGGTGTTGGTGGTGTTGGTGGCGATGCGGTTGAGGCTGGGGACGTCGATGTAGAATAACTCGGCGACGGCGTGTCTGGCGTTGTCGGTGGGGTAATGTACGTGCTGGGTGGAGGGTATGTGGGCTTTGGTGGAGAAGGGTAACGATGACCATACGACGGAGTAGGCGCCAAAGCGGTTGGGGGAGGCGGGAATGGATTCGTGGTAGGAGGAGGGGTGGTCTTGGATGAGGAGGGTAGTATGTAAGTAGGGTAGGGACCTTGACCTACGAAATATTTCTTCACCATTTCCTCGAACTCCCTCAGCGTTACTGGGTCCACATTAAGCTCCCACTCCAGGTACTGACACATCTCACGTTCCATCTGGTTGATCTCCCTGAGCTGGAACATACCCTGGGCCACGATGCTCCAGGATTTGTTTGAGTAAGTATCGTCGCAGATGACCTTGGAGGCGAGCATGAATGCGGATATGAACAGGCGATGTCCCGAAGATCCCCGAGCGGTAGGGAAGCGTGCTTTCAATCGCTGGAGGAGGACGAGAGCAGCGAAGGTAACAGATGAATGCAACTTCGTGCGGTGGAGGGCATATGCGATGAAATGGGGGAGCTTGACTTGAGAGTTAGAAGACGATGGGGGGTATTCGGGACAAGCAAACAGATGGTTTTTGAACTGCGCGCACAACGGCGAAGGCTCGTGACCATAAAATGGGTCAAAGTGTCTTGTGGAAGGTTGAGTTGATTGGGGTTTGGGTGGCGCCTATGTTTCCCGAAGTTGAACATGTGGAATGACGAACGGCTAATAAGAACTCACCAACGGTGCGGGATGATAACCCATACGTGAATGAGGAACGCTCTGGGCATTCTGAAAGGGGGATGGGTGGGGTAGTACTCCAATAGAAAATGACTTACGTGTTGAATACTGGCGACTAGAGTCTTCGTGCTTGTTTGTGCCGTGATTTGGGAGCCGAAATATTTTGGAAGGGTAACAGGGCACTCATCACTTGATTGCGCCAATGTATTTTGTGATCTGCGTGTAAGGAGGGTGAGGGTGACGTATGGAGTGGAAAAAAAACGGGCTGCTATTCGGGTTCGTTCTGAGCAGTGTTGGGAGCGATCAGTATCAGGTAACAGAACGTACATGTTGGTCCAGCGTGACGGTTCTTGCAAAGACGCACTTCATGGCATCTGAAGGCTCGTTTTGGTAGGTGGCGCAGGTCCAGACCAGCAAGACCGTTATCAACGAGGCTCCAGAATGGCAAGACCATTACCAGTGAGCAAATGAGGGGGCGCGCACTAAGACTACTTGGTGAGGCTGTGTTAAAGTTTCAGACCATAAACTCACCTAGTAACGAACTAAGCCTGTCAGGGAAAGGAAAGGCTCAACCCTTGCTCTGCATTATGAAATATTATAAAGCGACCTCAGGCTGTTATAAATTGCGGGTCTGAGTTTAATCCAACTCAAAATCAAACACTCGCTCACCTCCAAAGTAGTCTTTCATAGTCTTGCCGCGCTGAGTAGAAAGACGGCCACACATTCATTTCACATTTTTCAAATTTATTTTACCTAGACAGCCAGAGTTCAATGGAGTCACATTCACGCCGTAAGTGTTTTTTCATACTGATAAGGTTGAAAAACTCACTCAGTTCAACTTGAAGCCCGACGCAAAGCCAAGGACCAGGCGCTGGAAAAACCGGGTGAGTATGCACTACACATTACACATTCATTTGTACTCACAAGTCACACCAACGATATTGTTGCGGAGCACAGTTTGGCAGACTCTCCAAAGCAAGCCGCGCAAGCATAAACTTTCGACTACGGATGATGTCAGACCTGCCCAAAAATGGGTGAAGACTGGCAATCCAGGTCACGAACCGAAAGTAACCGCACCACCTGCTCAAAACAAAAAAGACAGCAAAAACCGCAGTGAGTCATTGGCCACAACAATATTACAAACTCACTCACAGACAGATGATCCAGAACGACCGCTACCTTCCTCAGCTTCGGATTTCGAGTCAGAGGTGGAACCTAGTATCCAGCCTAAGAAGAAGTCCAAGATGGGTCAGATCATGATCGTGTGTTGCCACATGGCACTTACTAACATGAGGCTATAGCGCACAAGGCAGCGGCAGTGTCTGTTGACTCATCGGAGCCCAATTCAGATGCCAGCGAGCACAGTATGTCTGATGCATCCGACAATGAAGAATCTGATATGGAGCTGGCGGAGAGTGTCGCTAAGGCATTGTTCGGAGAGGTAAGTCCGAGTCTGCATTTGATCAGGTACCGGCGCGTATTCGCTTACTAATCTTCATAGATCCCTACAATTGCCAATAAGACCTCAAGTTCATCGCAGTCGTCAAAAACTCCTCCTCCACCCATCTGGGGCTCGCAACTCAGGCCTCTGAACGCGCGAGAGAGAAAACACGCAGCGGAGGTAAGTGATTTTTTGCTATACACGTGTAGTGTGTAGTAATACCTGTGCTAACTCAAAATTCACCCAACAGACCCCCTTGTGGGACTCAGTGATGACAAGCTCGTCATTTGTGTCACAGGCTCCCACTCCACGCACTGACAAGGGCAACAGGTCCTTTTCCGAGTCCACACTAGCCGGAGACGAGGCTGAAGATGACCACAGTCCCACCCTCGATATCAAGTCCGAGCCTGACAGCACCAACGATTCTGACGCCGAGCCCCACCCTCTCAAATCCAAGGCACACTCACTTCAAGAAGACCCTATTTCCCATCTTGTTTACACAAAGACTGGGTCAGTCCGACTCATGGACCAGAACGTCGAACTGCGTAAGGTAATTCAACGTGGCATTCTCGAAGTCAAGGCCTACATTGCCTTCGAGCATGGATACCCTGAAATTGCGGCCCGAAATGTATATTCACGCGAAATACTGCTGAAGGCTGCGCAGTACCACAACACGGCGCCGATCGAGAAACGGATGCGGATCGATGATGAGTATTTGTCTGCCCTCAGCAATCTAGTCAGTGTTGTGTCTTCACTGCGCATTAATGCTGACGTCATCCATAGATTGATGCTCGTGCTAGCCTGTTTCGCAGCGATATCAAGGATGTGGCCAGCAAAAGTATTCTAGGCTACTTCCGACTCGGCAGTTTTGGCTGCGACGGAATCCTTGACAGGCTTCTTGCCAATCATTCATACGTTTTCCCGCAAACGTTTGATGTTTGTTTTTTTTTCTCCTCGTGAATGTGTCATCATACTCACACATCACATTGCTCAAGGCTCAAGGCCTTCCTTCACCGAACCGAAAGAAGCTGTATCAATCCCAGCCCGTGTTCCTCATTCTATGAGGTATTTTTCAAACATCTGAAGTCTGTTGGTGCGCAGTTTGGACAGCGCTTCTGTGATATCGCACGGAATAAAGGTGGTCGTCCGGAGATTCCAATCCCTATGTTGGCTATGGTCTGCACTGCCGTAAGTCCCACTTGCTTTGTGCTCGTTCACTCGTCGACGTTCTTCGTTGCTAGATCCGTGCCATCCTCCTTGCAAAGAAGAATAAGTCAAGTGATGATTTCAAGTTTACCGGTAATCAGTTTTTTGATATCTATAACCACCACGTGGTTTTGTTGGAGAGGATCCTGACGACGGCACCTGTCAAATTTCATAAGATGATGGCAGATATATACGAGGAAGTACAGTAAGTCAGTGTCGAAGTTGGTGGCATGTTACTGATATATTGTCGTTTACAGTCGCTTCCGTCATAGCATCACCGGAGTCTATGACCAGGATGACGGCCTTGCATTCTTGGACTTGGAGGGCATGGAGGACGAGTAAATTGGATCACATGTGTTCCAACGTCGAAAGCATCAGACTTCCAGTTACTAATCCTATACATGTACATACATTAACCACCACTCCCTCGTTGCACATTTGTCTGGCTCGTATGTTACTGCACTCAGCTGATACCCACTTTTAATTATAATTAATTGTTTCCTGTATTCTTCAAGCGTGAAAAGTCTCTCTAGCGTTGTCTAAACAATCTAAGGGCATCGAAAGAGGCTTCACTAGCTGCATCTAAGCCAAGCAAACTGTTCTAATGTTTTTGGAATAGCAATAGGCTTTCATAAATTTTTATAAAAAAAATTGAGGTAATGTAATTCTGGCAAGCCTTCTAAGCTGTCCAATTAGCACAACTTCGACAAAATATCTCTAACTATCGAAAATTCAGCTAAATAACTCTAAGTTTACATGGGAGGGTTTTCCTGATGGGCTAACTACTGTAGGTCTGCTAGTTAGCGTGATCTGATGCATCACTCAACATGCCAACGAGCATAGTTAATGCAATACTCATGTCTTGTGATAAGCAGACTTAATGCATTATACCTACAGGGACTTGTGCAATCCGATGCAAATCCACCCAGTGCCCGTGGCGGATGAAGGTATCATTGATAATCAGAGAATACCCGCTGCGAGCGAGGCTCCCCAGTTCTCGTCCGTTTCGTTCGATTTCGGTACCCCCGACCGCGAAGAACCGGTCTCGTCAGAGACAGGTCTTCACTCCTGGCGATCGCTCAAAAGCGAGGGCGCAAGCTAGGGGACAAGATGCTCGAGTAGCGCGTAACCGTGCCCGAGGCCATGCTGCTATATTGATACATCCAAACTGGACTATAAGCCTAAAACTAGGATACATCATCCAGTAAGATTATCCATTATCCATTGGATGTATCCCATGGTGGATCCCATCTGTTGGATACACAGCCGCATTTTTCGCATTTTTGAAACTCAGCTGTTTGTCATTCCAGGATATATTCATTATTCACAAAACATATCCCATTTTGGTCACCTCCTCATGTCAGGTCTCCCCACATTATTCCCACACATCACATGTTCGCATTTTTCAGCCACACAGTGTGGGAATTACCCCACAACACCAAAAACATCGCCCATTTTGGGAATCTCCACAATATCAATTGTTCCCACACCCTTTCCATATTACTGCAGCTTCACCACCACACCACAATTGCTCCCCTTTCATATACAAGTAGTAGTTTGGTATATATATGTATAATATAATATAATAGACCGCTTTTTTTGTCTATTTGTGAGCCTGCTCCTCCTCCAGGACCCTTTCAAAATGATGTAGGATACAAAACATTTTCGCACTTTTGCCCCTTTGACAAGGAAGTGTCCTAGGGTATTCAGAACATGATTATGAGTATATATGAAGACATTCCCAACTTTATTTGACCATCTGAAGTGTCCTACATCAATAAATATAACACATATACAGAAAAACACAAAATATGTTCCCATTTAATTACTTGCAGATGGATGGACTTGTAAAAATGATTCCCAGCACCTATTCAGTAATATGAACAATGTATCAGGAGCCTAGGACTATAGGACAACCCCCTGTTGCATGGTGTGCCCTCCTTCTCCTGGTGGTGTACCCCCTGTGAATTTTTTTCCTGTAGGACCGGACCTCAATTGAGGTAGGGGGTCCATTTCTATGTATATTTGAGGTAGGTCTATCATATAGCTGGCCCAGGACACACATAGGATCCTGCTACAGGAACAAAAACATAGAAAATCGCACTTGTGACATTTTTGATGTGTTTCAGTATCTTACCATTGCATCTATGATCCAAGCTGTTCATATATAGTGAGCATAGCATATATACTTGCTTTTTATGCCCAAGATCAGCTCACAATAGGCTGGAGCTGTGAGCTAGTGTATATGCTTGCTATTTCTACTGATAAGGGGCCCATGCCTTCAAAACATCAAATATTAATGATCAGAAACCTGGAGTACATTTGGAATATATACAGCATGATATATATATATGTATAGAACAATCCAACAATGATTGAGTGCTGAGGAAGTGAAATAGATAAGAAATTGAGTGTGGGAAACTTCACAAACCCAAAACATCGAAAATGGTCAGTTGAGCAGTAGTCAGACTTTAATGCTGGGTCAACTCATGATTACACTATATCCCTTCCCTCCACCCTTTACCCTCAGGGCAGTAGGTAGGATAGGTTCCTTAGGTAGTTTACAATCTATCCTACATATTTTAAATGAAATCTTTGACATTTATCATATATAAATGACACTTTGTGCAAAAAGATATCAATTGTCACTTTTCACACATATGTCATTTTGCCTGTCATTACATCAATCCTTCATGGATCTTTCTAAGCCTTCAGGGACATCATAAGGGATATATATTGGGGGTATCACAGGTCTCTGATTACTTATCACAGGCTTGACAACCATGTAGGCTTCTGATCAGTAGAAATACCCCCTCTACATCAGATCTCATGTTTGTGCCATATATCTAGCTGGTATTTAGTGTAGAATACATGTATTCATGTACTACTGATTATAAATGAGCAGGGTGGACCATGTGTGCAAGTGTAATATACTAAACAACATCAAAAATGCCAAACATACAATATTTTATGTTTTTGTTCCTGTAGATGTATATTGTGTGTGTCCAGGGCTAGCTATATGATAGACATACTCCAAATATATATAGAAATAGACCCCCTACCTCAATTGAGGTCCGATCCTACAGGAAAAAAATTCACAGGGGGTACACCACCAGGAGAAGGAGGGCACACCATGCAACAGGGGGTTGTCCTATAGTCCTAGGCTCCTGATACATTGTTCATATTACTGAATAGGTGCTGGGAATCATTTTTACAAGTCCATCCATCTGCAAGTAATTAAATGGGAACATATTTTGTGTTTTTCTGTATATGTGTTATATTTATTGATGTAGGACACTTCAGATGGTCAAATAAAGTTGGGAATGTCTTCATATATACTCATAATCATGTTCTGAATACCCTAGGACACTTCCTTGTCAAAGGGGCAAAAGTGCGAAAATGTTTTGTATCCTACATCATTTTGAAAGGGTCCTGGAGGAGGAGCAGGCTCACAAATAGACAAAAAAAGCGGTCTATTATATTATATTATACATATATATACCAAACTACTACTTGTATATGAAAGGGGAGCAATTGTGGTGTGGTGGTGAAGCTGCAGTAATATGGAAAGGGTGTGGGAACAATTGATATTGTGGAGATTCCCAAAATGGGCGATGTTTTTGGTGTTGTGGGGTAATTCCCACACTGTGTGGCTGAAAAATGCGAACATGTGATGTGTGGGAATAATGTGGGGAGACCTGACATGAGGAGGTGACCAAAATGGGATATGTTTTGTGAATAATGAATATATCCTGGAATGACAAACAGCTGAGTTTCAAAAATGCGAAAAATGCGGCTGTGTATCCAACAGATGGGATCCACCATGGGATACATCCATCTGGATAATAGATAATGGATAATCTAACTGAATGATGTATCCTAGTTTTAGGGCTATAGCCCAAAAGGATATATCCATCCAGCAACATCAGGTGCGTGCCCAGCGTCATGCAATGTTTGGATCTTTCGGCGCGATACTTTCTGAAGCGAGATTGAGGGATGCTGATGAACGGGAGCGGAAGGATGTCAGGTGGGAGACTAGGCGGAGGGGTGATGATGATATTGATTGGGGTGATGGAGATGGAGATGGAGATGGAAGTGGTGTTCCGGAAAACGATGGTGTTGATGAAGTGTCTAATGGATTGGGAGGGATGGATCTGGACCCGGATCTTGAGCCCAGTTTGGAGGCTATGAAAGGCTTCGTTCAGAGTATGAGTGCGGAAGGATCGCGGTATCGCACGGTGGATGATGTCGAGGACGAACAGCAGATGAGAATTGAGGACAAGGAAGAAGACGACGGAAGCGACTCCCACGGCGCCTATAGCGACACGAGCGAGGAAGAAGACAAGGAAGAAAAAGAAGTGTTTGAAGTGGAGGAAGAGATGCTTATTGCAGAATCGGAGGGTGGAAAACCTCATGAACCCTTACCCTTGGATGATTCTGACGAAGGGGAGGATTCATCAGACGATGACGAGCTCACTCCGGGAGGTAACTTCAAGGCTAGACTCCGTCGAATCCGCGAGAAATCGCGCTCGACGAAGCCAGCAACAGCTGCGCCTGGGGGTAATTCAGAGGAGGATGAGGAGGAGGAGGAGGAGGAGGAGGAGGAGGATGCTTCTTTCCCCCGTTGGAATCGAGGTGATTCCGACGATGATTACATGGCAGGAATAGAGGTATCTCGATTTTCCTCCCTCCACTCCACAAGGGCTGACCTCCTGCACAGGAATTGCTCGACATGCACAGCGGTATAGTTGGCGGTAAAGACCGCAAACTGCGCAAGAAACTGTTCGGTGCAATCCACAATGGTCAATTTGACCACGTCGACGACTACGAGGAATTGGACGGATCCTTCAGCTTTCAGCCCGCGAGTGGGTGCCCTTGTCATATCGTGTCTATCAGTCATCTAATCGATTTTCAGAGCGCAAGAAAGACAAGATGAAGGAGCTACCTGCCGAACTCCAAGAGACATGGGGCAAAGATCGAGTTAAGAAAGCTGAGCTCAAACGAGCTCGCGAACAGGCTCGTTTTACCGACGCCGTAGATCCCATTTCTCCAAAGAAAGGCGGGAAGAAGGGGCGCAAGGCGATGCGGGCAGCTGCAAAGATGGATCCGAGCGAGCTCGCTGAAATTCAGAATGCCATCGTCGATATGGTGTCACTGGAGAAGCAGATTCGCCGCTTCATCAGTGATGAGGGCGAAAAGAACAACATGGTACTTCCTCCGATGAACAAGTCTCATCAAGTCCACGAAGACCCGTGCTGTTGATGAACATAAAGTCAAGGAATGTCATGAAGAGACACGGAGGCAGATTTGATAATGATAAGATGCCTCGACACAAAGATGGAGATGAAGTTGGCAAGGTACGAGGTTCCTCCATTTTGAATGAAACGCAGCTCTTACATTCTCATTCTCCGTTCGTAGGCTGCTCCAAAGATCGGAGAAACGAATGTTGGGTTCAGGATGCTTGCTTCGATGGGGTGGGCAGAAGGAGATAGGATTGGTGGCAATGCGTCCAATGGGATTGATGCGCCTTTAACAGCCATCATCACGAACACGAAGCTGGGTCTGGGCGCGACTCGATAGTCACATCTTCAGAGCGAAATCTAATACCTTCCATGACCCCATATTGACCTGGGCCCTGATGAAGCACAGCAAGTCCACCGTCCTCATGGATAGCGCAGTCTGAAGAATGACATCTAGCTACTGGACATCATGATCAAGTATAGACGTGCATATTTCGTTGTCTCGTCACCAAACTTCCTACCATATTCTGCTCAGTGTTGGCGTCATCTCACTGCCTTTTCCTGCATTCTTCTATAGTTCACACGGCTGTAATCGTGAATTCACTAATGCCACAGCCTCAGGCCTCAGTACTTGCTACTAGTTCTTACTACATACACAAGTTCGGCGCTCACTATACCATTTCCTCTCCAGGTTTCAGTGCTCGAATTTCAACGTGCGTGCGTATTAAAATTAATCATATCCACCTGGATTTTGTACTCATGAAAGGCATACTAGTGTCGTCTTCGCACAATCGCGCTCTTCGGCCCCTTCAACCTTCCCGTGTTCTTGACCAGTGACAGTCCTTGTGTAACTTGATTATAACAGCATGGCAGACATGGTGCAAGAGTGTCGAGCGGCCTTGCAGAGATGTCCCCTCGGTCATTCTGATCGATCAGCGTGTCTCTACAATCTTGCAATCAGCCTTCATGACAGATTCGAGCAGCGGGGCGTCCCGTCTGACCTTGATGAGGCCGTCGAGCTCTTTCGGACTGCACTGGTCCTTTGTCCCACCGGTCATTCTCATCGATCAGGGTCTCTCAACAATCTTGCCAACTGCCTTGTAAACAGATTCGAGCAGCGGGGCATCCCGTCTGACCTTGATGAGGCCATCGAGCTCCATCGGGCCGCACTACTCCTTCGTCCCCGCGGTCATTCTGATCGATCGATGACTCTCAATAATCTTGCCAACAGCCTTGTAAACAGATTCGAGCAGCGGGGCATCCCGTCTGACCTTGATGAGGCCATCGAGCTCCATCGGGCTGCACTACTCCTTCGTCCCCCCGGTCATTCTGCTCGATTGTCTCTCAACAATCTTGCCAGCAGCCTTCAAATCAGATTCCAGCAGCGAGGCATCCCGTCTGACCTTGATGAGGCCATCGAGCTCCATCGGGCTGCACTACTCCTTCATCCCCCAGGTCATTCTGATCGATCGATGACTCTCAACAATCTTGCCAACAACCTTCAAAACAGATTCAATCAGCGGGGCGTCCCGTCTGACCTTGATGAGGCCATCGAGCTCCATCGGGCAGCACTACTCCTTCGTCCCACTGGTCGTTATGATCGACCAGGGTCTCTCAACAATCTTGCCCTCAGTCTTGGTGACAGATTCGAGCAGCGGGGCGTCCCGTCTGACCTTGATGAGGCCATCGAGCTCCATCGGGCTGCACTACTCCTTCGTCCCCCCGGTCATTCTCATCGATCACAGTCTCTCAACAATCTTGCCAGCAGCCTTCAAACCAGATTCAACCAGCGGGGCGTCCCGTCTGACCTTGATGAGGCCATCGAGCTCCATCGAGCTGCACTACTCCTTTGTCCCCCCGGTCATTCCAATCGATCAGCGGCTCTCGACAATCTGGCCGTCAGCCTTCGAACCAGATTCAAGCAACAGGGCGTCCCATCTGACCTTCATGAGGCCATCGAGCTCAATCGGGCTGCACTACTCCTTTGTCCAACCGGTCATTTTGATCGATCAGCGTCTCTCGACAATCTTGCCACCAGCCTTCAAATCAGATTCGAGCAGCGGGGCGTCCCGTCTGACCTTGATGAGGCCATGGAGCTCCGTCGGGCTGCACTACTCCTTCGTCCCCCGGGTCATTCTCATCGATCACTCTCTCTCGACAATCTTGCCATCAGCCTTGAATACAGATTCAAGCAGGGGGGCGTCCCGTCTGACCTTGATGAGGCCATCGAGCTCCATCGGGCTGCACTACTTCTTCGTCCCCCTGGTCATTATGGTCGATCAGGGTCTCTTAGCAATCTTGCCATCAGCCTTGTAAACAGATTCGCGCAGCAGGGCACCCAATCTGACCTGGATGAAGCATTTAGGGTGTATGTGCAACTCTCCTACCTACCTCATGCAGTCTCCCATACGGATCTTACCGCTGCCAAGACATGGACCATCTCTGCCGAAGTGGCGAACCATGACTCTGCATTGCTTGCCTATCAAACCGCATTGAAATTCCTAGATCAGCATGTTACTATGTTGCGGTCTTCCCCGCATCTATTTGATGTCGTCAGGAAGGCCACAGCTTCACTTGCCATGGACGCTTTCTCGTGCAGTGTTCGTCACGGGGCACTGACAACTGCTGTGGAACTGGTGGAGCAAGGCCGTGCCGTATTCTGGACCCAGTTGGCACGCTTACGCTCACCGCTCGATGAACTTTCCCTGTCCGGTGACACCGGCGCAGCCTTGGAGAAAGAGTTCAAGCATCTGAGCTTTGGCCTTCGTAGCGCGCTTGATCAGTCTACTGAAGAGCAGTCCCCACAAATCCGACAACTGACCATGCAATGGCATGATGTCGTCTCCCGCATCCGCATGTTGCCCAACTTTTCTCGGTTTCTCCTGCCTCCCCTTTTCTACAACCTGCAGAAGGCTGCTGAAGAAGGCCCTGTCATCATCGTCAATGCAAGCCGATATGGCTGTGACGCCTTGATTATCTTCAGTGCACAAGATCCTGTGCACGTTCCACTCGATATCCTGCAGATTGAAGTTTCCGAGTTGTCTTCGGAGTTTCAGTCCCTCGCAGAGGAATTTGGTGCTTCTGATTGTCAAAACAAACTTGTCAGCATCCTCCGCGAGCTTTGGGATTGTGTTGTTGACCCCGTTGTCCGAGCTCTTGAGGCATCTGAAATCCACCATGGCTCGCGTATCTGGTGGTGCCCCACTGCCGAGTTCACGCTTCTTCCTCTACATGCAGCAGGACCGTACGGGAAGAATAAAAACAACTTGTCTGACATTTATATCTCCTCTTACACCCCCACTTTGGCGACACTCATTCGGGCGAGACAGCGGGTTTCTCAAGAGGTGTCCACACAAAATTTTGTCGCCATCGGTCAAGCGAATCCGGACAGAGGGAAGGAACTCCGTCATGTCGCTCCTGAGTTAGCCATCGTCGCTGAGCGCCTCAGGCCCGTTGTCTCCTTCACATCACTCGAGGATGGTGACGCAACAGTCCAGGGTGCACTTGCTGCACTAAACCATAATCAGTGGCTCCATCTAGCTTGCCATGGAATGCCACACCGGACGCAATCGTTCGACTCTTCCTTCGCGATGCGCGATGGGCCTTTGATGATCAAGGAAATCATCCGGTCCGACTGGCAGAGCCCGGAGTTTGCATTCTTGTCGGCTTGCCACACTACCGTGGGTGATGAAAAGAGTCCCGACGAGGCGATACATCTCGCTGCGGCGATGCAATTCTCTGGATTTCGCAGTGTGATAGGTTCCATGTGGTCTGTCGACGATGAGGTTGCACTACAGGCTGTGTCCATTTTTTACCGCAAACTGGTCGATGGCTCAGGGAGATTGGACTGCACGCGGGCTGCGGTAGCCTTGCACAAGACTGTGAAATCGTTGCGCAAGAAGATTCCACTAGAACAGCAGATCGTGTTTGTTCACATAGGTGTCTAGTTTGATTGGTTCGTCATGTTATTGCATTCTATGTCATGCTGCTTGCTTTCATTACCCTGTTGTTCCACCTAGATCCCAGTTATCAGTTATTCAAATCATGTCTGCATAATACTCTGTTTTTTTTTCCCCGTTGTGTACTAGTACTGCAAGCACCGATCCATTGAATGATTACACATTGCTTTATCAAACATACAAAGAAGCTGGCTGTTGATACGGGACTTTGTGGGATGGGCTGGTGCATGGCTCTTCTTTGTTAATATATTTCTCTGCGGTCACGAAGACTTTGCGTGGCATAGGATGCAGAGCATCCTACAACCTACACATCCTTTCTACATAGAAGGGGACGAGCCACGACCTCGCAGCCCGCCAATAGGCTCATATTTCCAGCAGCATCGCATTAAGATATTGATATTGAACAAAAATCAAGAGAATGCATACAATTACGACAGCATGATCCGATCCACCCACGTCCAAGCCAACTATCGTTGCTCGGCGCACTGCGTTAAGGCTTCCCCAAGCCTCCAGCCAGCAATATGCAAGGAATCATTATACAGCCTGTACCTCGAATCCGCAACAGTGTTGGCAAGCTCCAATGCGCGCTTCAGATTCCTGTCCAAGATGTCTTAAAACTGCGGGCACAACATACAAAGTTACACTTACTCTGGGATATGCTCTCGAGAGGCGTAGAGCATGACATGCAGCCGCAGTATAAGCTCGGGGAGGTATATATCTGCCGAATGCGAGTTAGGTCGCGGGAGTGACGGCCTCCTGTCTCGTCTGGCATATCTGAGCAGTTTCACGACTCTATCGTAAGCCTGGTTAATTAAACAAGCAGCCCTGGTGTTCCGCTTCATTATCGGCACCTCTAGGTTCTGGCACTCCATGACACGGTCAAGACTGTCCTGGATCGTAAAGAACTGCCTGTGGTTAAGGTATTTTGTGGCTCGTTCCTCAGGCTGGTCGATTGAGGGGAGTTCACGCGGAAGCATCTCCACAAGGTTCTTTGCAAGCAAAACCCTCCCGGCACCTGAAACCATACGGAGCCATAATAGTAGATCCTCGACGATAAGCTTACCTAGGAAGTACCGCAAAATGACGGTCGCCCTGTTCCAGCGCAGTATCATGCGTTCCATCCCCGAACGTTGTCCACTCTATGGAACGAAGCAGCAGCAGCTCGACATCTGAGGGAGTGGCCTGCAACGGAATGACAGAAGACTGGTCCGTTCATTTAGGGTCGAATCTGGCAAATAGTGTTCAGTACATGAGTTTCGTGAGATCCGCGTCCCACCAACCTCGAATGCTCTATCAATTGTGAGTTTGGCAGCGACGACCGCCACCTCGTGAACGTCTAGACCATCCTCCCGCGCACAGGTCAATGCTAATCGACGATCATTGACGTCCGCGATAAGTTCGAGCGAAGTCAAGAACATCTCATATCGCTCGACTGCGTTGTCTCCTAGCGGGACAGCATACATTGCAATCAACTCTCTTTGGCCTGCAGCCTGACAAGGAAATTAGTGAGGAACAAAATGACTAAGGACAAACTCTCACCTCCAACACTTGTAGGTAAGCCTCAAGAATGACTTGGGTCGCGAGCAGCGGCACCGGAATGTCGATCATCTGCAAATAAAGGCAGAGGTGTGCGAAGAAATGCGTCATGAAGAAACACGTCATTGTAGGATACCTGCTGCTTTGTTAGAGAATGTCAACGCACTTGTTTCGACTTACTATGATGATTCGGGATCAAAGGTTGCATCCCTGACTTCAGTTGCAAAGGTTTTAAGCTAAGAACTTGTCCGATCGAGGAGATCGATGATCGCCAGCTGAGAGACATGTAATGCGTGGTCTGCGGTAGGACTAATTGACGGTCAGCACATGGAAAATAGACGGATGTATGTAAACAGTACCCGTCCTCCACGTGAATGCTACCTAGTGTTTCCAACGTAGATGTTGCTTCCCTCTCCCACTCTTCTTCCTCAGCTGCATCTCATGTCTGCGGTATGTTCCTCCTCGCATAAGATACTGATTTGCGCCCGCAGGTGGTCTTGCCATATCCGATATGCAGACTTCAGGATACTGAATGTTTGTGGGCAGGGCGCAAGAGCTGCATAGAGAATGCACTCTGGGTCGGGGAGGCGGGACTTCGAGGCACCTTAACAAGATGGTATACAAATGGTTGAGTGGTGCACGCACATTCAGGGCTGCTCTTGCGCATGTTGATGTTCACAATTTTCGACGTGAGTTTCCCTGCCATCCTTCAGCATCACAAAGCCATCGATGCTGTCGTCATCTCGTTGCTCATTTGCTGTTGGGCAGATTAGAGATGCATATACGATACGTGGAGCTTGACTTACCAATGGTTCGTAATTGAAACAGTAGCAGCCCTCCATGGATGATGCTGCTTTTCTGCATGATTTGACTGCCTCATCCAATCTACCAGCACGAACAAATGAGTAGAGCGCGTGAGCTAGGCTTTTCTCAAATCCCTGTAAAGGATTGCGTTTCAATCAGTGCTTCGACAGGCTCACGGCCTCATCAGATGCTGATGATCGACCATCACCTCTGTTCATGGCATCAGGATCTGCATCACCAAAATTCCCCAAGTCTGAAATTACCTTATGCGGACACTTTCCCGCGCCACAATCTTTTACGGGCCAATGACGCAATGATGGTTGATGACAATGGGCTCGCAGGTTCAACGACACTCAGACATACCTCAATACCCTCCTAAACGTGTAAGGCCGCCATCAGTCTGATGCGCCCCTGGTAAGTTCAGATTTCCCCTGATATATTATTACCGTATCAACTGACCAATGTTTCACACGACACAACTTGACAGTTTGTTTATGCCCTTGTGAGCCTCGTAATCTCCTGGACGTATTTTTCCTGTATCTGTTTGCTTCGCAGTTGACTCGACGGTTCCCTCGCAGTTCCCTGCTACAGCGCCCCTGCCTCATTCACATATAAATCCCCACAAGAATGTGAGTGGGACTGCCATCATCAGATATTCGTCTTACATTTTATAGTCTCGACCCACATCAACACCACCCGCCACCCAATCCTGGTGGCCCATTCGGACAGGTCAGACATTGCCGGCTATCATCGATGTTTTTCTCGCATAGGGTAAAGTTGTTCGCGCGGTCACTTTTGCTCACTGCTTTCTAGATCTCACGCATCGATTTACAGCGGAACGCTGCAGCAGATGCCCCCGGGAAAAGACAATGAATGGATTCATGATGAAGACTATGTTTCTTCCCCTCCTTCAACGAGCCCCGATTCACAGGAGCCACCCACAGCAGGGCAGATCGATACTGGAGAGCACGGAAGTGGTCGGTTGTGTTTCTGCTTGTAGACTAGTTTTTCAAACGGTACTATGAGCCCGTCGCGGACGTGTCATGCTGATGTTCATAGATATCCCACGCACAATCCATTTACGAACTTCACAACGGACCTCGGCAGTCGTACGCGCAGCTTGATGGGACGGAACCTGAGTTTGAGATACGGAGAGCGAGGAGGGTGGTGGTTCCAAGGGAGCAGGCGCGATTGATTGTGGTGAGTGTTAAGGATCTTATATTATCGTGGTTTCATGGTGCTTACTGTGATTGTGATGTAGGTGCCATCTAGACAGGCAGCAGGTGATTACAATTGTGTACGCGCGTCTCAGGATAATGGTACTACCCGAGGAGATAACTTGCCTATCAGGGGCCCCAACACAAGGAGTCGACAACCGAAGGGTTCGCTCCAAACGATGCTGGTGCTAGCGCTGGTTTTGTATGCACTATTATGTATCATTAACATTAGCCAATGAATCATGACTTACAATTTCTGTTTCATCACTGCACAGTGTCCGTATCATAGACCATGCATGTGTCCGTCGGTTTGCCCAGAAATTTCTAAGGGTGGTTGGATATCATCTCGTGCAACACTTAATGCGTGATTATGCATGGTCACGTGATCTCACAAATAACACGTCAACAAAGGACTTGCGGGCGATATTCCTGCACTTCTCTATCACCCATCCCTGCATTAAGTACTGTGCATGTCAGCGTATGCACAGATTTTTCTGGCCTTTTTCGCTCCTTCTCGACACGGGTTGATGAATATTCGCGTGCCGACACCCTTTCTGTGCCTTCCTGGTATGTTTCACCTTGTTCCTTTGCTGTGCTTATACTATGCACACCCCCTTCATGCCTATATGCGCCCCTTTTCTGCTGTTATACGTGTTTTTTTACTCATTTGGGCCTCCAGGACCTTTCTAAAGCATCTTTCATGCCCTCCGTGGCACTCTTATTGCGCATATATGCACATAATTTGGGCTTCTCCTGCTGGCCTTCTGTGGCTTATATCCTGTTGTGACACACTAAGCTTCTATGGAGTCACATAGCTAGGTATGTTTTGATACTAGACCTGTCCCACAGAGCCCGGAATCACTCGTTCCCTGGGGAAGACTCTTGTTTCGCATCGTGGATTTGATTGCCCCTGTGGAAGGTGTTCCGGCTGACGAGAAAGACCGGGAGAGATGTGAATGATGGAAGGCCAAGAAGTGGCCTTATGGAATCCTCGTTCGACTAACCCATTGGTCTGTGTTTTCTTCAAGGATTCCGTCCGCGTGTTTCTGAGAGCCTTGTAGCTTCGGAAATCCCTCTCAGCTCCCATTGCCGATGCAGAAGGAGTATGGTGCGTTTGCAGACAATTTCGTGACTGTCTTCGCTCCCGAAATCCTTAAGGTGTACCTCCACCAAGTTGAGCTTTATGTCTCAGGACGGTGCACATAATCTCTCAGTTCCTCGTTCTCGTGTTGAGCTGATGTGTTTCTGTGCAGTATCAAGCCGAAGTCGACATGTATACTTTTGAAGCCCCACGTCGACAGCCTCGTGGCTAAATTGGTAAGTCAAACTCCACGTATCGTATATGTATCTCTAATCTGCCCAACAGCGAATGAGCAACGAGGTGACGACAGCATCGATGGCTTTGGGATGCTAAAGGATGGCAGGGAAACTCACGTCGAAAATTGTGGACATCAACATGCGCAAGAGCAGCCCTGAATGTGCGCGCGCCATTCAACCGTTTGTATACCATCTTGTTAACATGCCTTGAAGTCCCGCCTCCCAGATCCAGAGTGCATTCTCTATGCAGCTCTTGTGCCCTGCCCGCAATCATTCAATGTCCTGAAGTCTGCATGTCGGATATGGGAAGACCATTTGTGGGCGCAAATCAGTATCTTATGCAAGGAGAAACAGACCGCAAACATGAGATGCAGCCGAGGAAGAAGAGTAGGAGAGGGAAGGAACATCTACGTTGGAAACACTAGGTAGCGTTCACGTCTATTTTCCATGTGCTGACCGTCAATTAGTCCTACCGCAGACCACGCATTCCATGTCTCTCAGCTGGCGACCATCGATCATCCTCGATCGGACAAGTTCATTGCTCGAAACCTTTGCAACTGAGCTCAGGGATGCAAACTTTGATCCCGAATCATCATAGTAAGTCGAAAAAAGTGCATTTGACATTCTCTAACAAAGCAGCAGGTATCCTACAATGACACGTTTCTTCATGATGCGTTTCTTCGCCCACCTCTGCCTTTATTTGCAGACGATCGACATTCCAGTCCCGCCGCTCGCGACCCAAGTCATTCTTGAGGCTTACCTACAAGTGTTGGAGGTCAGACTTTGTCCTTAGTTGGTTTGTTCCTCAATAATTTCCTTGCCAGGCTGCAGGCCAACGAGAGTTGATTGCAATGTATGCTGTCCCGCTAGGAGACAACGCAGTCGAGCGATATGCGATGTTCTTGACTTTGCTCGAACTTACAGCGGACGTCAACGATCGTCGATTAGCATTGACTCGTGCGCGAGAGCATGGTCTAGACGTTCACAAGGAGGCGGTCGTCGCTGCCAAACAAACAATTGATAGAGCATTTGAGGTTAGTGGGACGCGCATCTCACGAAACTCATGGACTGAACACTATTTGCCAGCTTCTACCACCAGTCTTTTGTTATTCCGTTGCAGGCCACTCCATCAGATATCGAGCTCCTGCTACTTCGTTCCATAGAGTGGACAACGTTCGAGGATGGAATGCATGATACTGCGCTGGAACAGGTGACCGTCATTTTGCGGTACTTCCTAGGTAAGCTTGTCATCGAGGTTCTACTATCATGGCTCAATATGGTTTCAGGTGCTGGGAGTGTTTTGCTTGCAAAGAACCTTGTGGAGATGCTTCCACGTGAACTCCCCTCAATCTCGCCCCGAAAAACTCAATCCAAGGCCAAGACTGCTAAATCCACTAGCGCACCGAAGAAAGGGAAGGGAAAAAAATGATGTGTTAACGATCTTCCATTTCGTCTCATCGTCGACACTGATTTCTCACTCAGAACGATGTCTGTATGTCTCACTTGCAAGCCGCTGGCCACTTGTCGCACGTTTCGCTCTTGTCGTCGTCCCTATTCTCATTCGCAATTCACATTCAAGCCGCTCTCCGATCATCGCATGTTTCCTTGTTGTCGCTGTCAGTCTCCTTCAGAAGCTTTGGCGCGTGTCTGCCTTTTAGAGAAGCCCTGGTGCACGTTCTGCTCTTAGATGTACTTTTACTGTCTGCGCATACCATGTAATACAATACCGAAATGAAGTGTTCTTATCAGAATTCAATACTAGATCAGAACATATAAGTAGCATTGCCATATCAATGCTTATAAACTCGAAATCTATGCTAAGGTACGAGTTACTTACCCAACCTCCGCCATCTTACCTTCAATTGAGTTTCTCAACCAGATCTTATATGTCGGTTCCCCCGCCTTCCGCGCGCTGATACACCTGGTGCACCTTTTGTGACCTTGCGCATCCTGGTCAGTCATTATCAGCCCTTATCCGAGTTGGGGAATTTCGGTGATGTGGGTCTTTCACCAGACCCTCTCAGATTCCTGAGCCTGTGCGTAGAGCCAGCATAACATTATATTTCGTAAACTTCCAGTATCCTGTGATGGCTTCTGGATGTTGCGGTTGCGGGGCGGTTTCATGAAGCCATTCTCGTACTAAGACGAGTTCTATGAGGAGCACTGACGAATGCTAATGTTGACGTGGATGTGTAGGGATTATTTGCAAGTAATGTGCGGGGATGGACGTGTAGCCCTGGTTCTGTTTTAACTTTTGAGCACAATAAGGTAGGCTTGGCGATATGTAGCAAACTCAGCCATGGCACGAGAATAAGAATGCACATATGATCATTATTCGATGCGCTATGATGTAGGAAATTTGGGTTCTGGGCGAGTCCGAGGAACGTTGAATCTACATCACATAAATTACCGAATCCAGACATCACATGATACAGTCAATTTTGTGACGTACTTTCGCTGAGGTCGCCGGAACCGAAGATTTACTTGCCTCAAACCTGTCATATTCGTCCCAGCGGTGTTCACGAAGACGAGGTTATTCGATTAACTGAAAGATCTCATACAGCCTGCAGCTGAGAGCGCTGGTATGTTGTTGTGTTTTTTCTTCTGTGTTTGTGGTTTGTTCTGAAGTTTTTTGTTTGGACGTTGGGTGGTGGTTAGGTCCGAGCGAGGAGAGTCATGTCCCTACTGTAGATCGCGTTGATCGCGTGTTTAGTGGAGTCGATGTCCCCCCTCCCCCTCCGTCCTCTTCGTCCTCAGAAGATGGTGTTTCTGATCGTGAGGAGGAATTGGAGGCGGTAGACTTTGCTGATATGGGAAAGATGTTTCCTAACCTTGGTACTGCTAAGGCTTCGACCAAGGCTCGAGTCCCACAAGTTGCCTCTTCTTCATCCGAGGTGTTCACTGGGGTATATAGCAAGAGAAAACATTCTGCTGGGACTCCTTCATCCCATCCAGTTCCACAGCACGCAGATATAACGAAAAACCTGTCCTCGTATCCACCGATGCAGTCATCAGCGAAACGACCGCAATTACTGTACACAGCAGCACTGCGCTAGAACACTCGACAGCTGCCCTAGTGATAACTCAAGATGATGATATAGAAATACTCATCGATAAACCAGACCCCATCCCATCCTCCACAACACCAATCTCAAACGAAACCACCGCTTCTCCAGCATGTCTCCCAGAAGGCGACACCCCTACATTCTCATTCTTCGTGGATACAGAACCTACCAAACCATTTGCGCATCGCTCTGCTAGTGATGTCGTGCTTTTCGACCGTACCGCCGCCTGGGGCGGCGCTCCTTTTGGAGCAGAGGACGAGCTTATCGTATATGTTGCACCGCACCCACGATCAGGACGAGCTTCGCTTGTTCCTCCTATTCCCCGAGTACGGCTACCCACAAAGTACATGCTGACAGGAACCAACAATCCGATGCACATCCACCCAGTGCCCGTGGCGCATGAAAGTATAGTTGATAATCAGAGAATACCCGCTGCGAGCGAGGCTCCACAGTTCTCCTCTGTTTCGTTCGATTTCGGTACCCCGACCGCGAAGAAACAGTCTCATCAGATACCTGTCTTCACTCCTGGCGATCACTCAAAAGCGAGGGCGCAAGCTAGGAGACAAGACGCTCGAGTAGCGCGTAACCGTGCCCAGCGTCATGCGATGTTTGGATCTTTCGGCGCGATACTTTCTGAAGCGAGATTGAGGGATGCTGATGAACGGGAACGGAAGGATATCAGGTGGGAGACTAGGCGGAGGGGTGATGATGATATTGATTGGGGTGATGATGATATTGATTGGGGTGATGATGACGAAGATGGAGATGGAAGTGGAGATGGAAGTGGTGTTCCGGAAAACGATGGTGTTGATGAAGTGTCTAATGGATTGGGAGGGATGGATCTGGACCCGGATCTTGAGCCCAGTTTGGAGGCTATGAAAGGCTTCGTTCACAGTATGAGTGCGGAGGGATCGCGGTATCGCACGATGGATGATATCGAGGACGAGCAGCGGATGAGGATCGAGGACGAGGAAGAAGACGATGGAAGCGACTCCCATGGCTCCTATAGCGATACGAGCGATGAAGAAGACAAGGAAGAAAAAGCAGTGTTTGAAGTGGAGGAAGATATGCTTGTTGCAGAATCGGAGGGTGGAAAACCTCATGAACCTTTACCCTCGGGTGATTCTGACGAAGGGGAGGATTCATCAGATGACGATGAGCTCAGCCCGGGAGGTAACTTCAAGGCTAGGCTCCATCGACTCCGCGAGAAATCGCGCTCGACGAAGCCAGCGACAGCTGCACCTGCGGGTGATTCAGAAGGGGATGAGGAGGATGATGCTTCTTTCCCGCGTTGGAATCGAGGTGATTCCGACAATGACTACATCGCAGGAATAGAGGTATCTCTATCTCTCTCCTTCCATTCCACAAGGGTTGACCTCCTGTACAGGAAATGCTCGAAATGCACAGCGGTATAGTTGGCAGTAAAGACCGCAAAATGCGCAAGAAACTGTTCCGTGCAATCCTCAATGGTCAATTTGACCACGTCGACGACTACGAGGAATTGGACGGATCCTTCAGCTTTCAGCCAGCCAGCGGGTGCTCTTGTCATATCGTGTCTATCAGTCATCTAATCTGTTTTCAGAGCGCAAGAAAGAGAATATGAAAGAGCTACCTGCCGATCTCCAAGAGATATGGAAGAAAGATCGAGCCAAGAAAGCTGAACTCACACGAGCTCGCGAACAGGCTCGTCTTACCGACGCCGTAGATCCCATTTCCCCGAAGAAAGGTGGGAAGAAGGGGCGCAAGGCGATGCGGGCAGCTGCAAAGATGGATCCGAGCGAGCTTGCTGAAATTCAGAATGCCATCATCGATATGGTGTCACTGGAGAAGCAGATTCGCCGCTTCATCAGTGATGAGGGCGGAAAGAACAACATGGTACTTCCTCCGATGAACAAGGCGTCGAGGAAGGAAGTTCACGAGCTTGCTAACTCGTTTAACCTCAAGAGTCAGAGTAAAGGCAAGGAAGATTGGAGATATATCACTCTCATCAAGTCCACGAAGACCCGTGCTGTTGATGAACATAAAGTCAAGAATGTCATGAAGAGACACGGAGGCAGATTTGATAATGATAAGATGCCTCGACACAAAGATGGAGATGAAGTTGGCAAGGTACGGGGTTCCTCCATTTTGAATGAAACACAGCTCTTACATTTTCCGTTCGTAGGCTGCTCCAAAGATCGGGGAAACGAATGTTGGGTTCAAGGATGCTTGCTTCGATGGGGTGGGCAGAAAGAGACAGAATTGGTGGCAATGCGTCCAATGGGATTGATGCGCCTTTGACAGCCATCATCACGAACACGAAGCTGGGTCTGGGCGCGACTCGATAGTCACATCTTCAGAGCTAAATCTAATACCTTCCATGAACCCATATTGGCCTGAGCCCTGATGAAGCACAGCAAGTCCGCCGTGCTTATGGATAGCACAATCTGGATGTCATCTAACTACTGGACATAGATCATGATCAAGTATAGACGGGCATATTTCGTTGTCGTCACCAAGCTTCCTACCATATTCTGCTCATTGTTAGCGTTGTCCTGTATAGTTCACACGGCTATAATTTCAAGGACTCGTATGTCTCAGGCCCCAGGCTCTCAGTGCTACTAGTTCTTACTACACAAGTTCAGGCTCACCATACCATTTCTTCTCCGGGTGTCAGTACTTCAGTGCTCGAATTTCTATGTGCATGCGTATTGCCATTCAAACATATCCATCTTGATTTTGTAATCATGAAAGGCACAGTGTCGTCTTCGCCCAATTGCGCTCTTCGGCTTCATCCTCCCAGTGTTCTTGACCAGTGACAGTCCACGTGTAACTTGATTATAACAGGATGGCAGACTTGGTGCAAGAGCGTCGAGAGGCCTTGCAAAGCTGTCCCCTTGGTCATTCTGATCGACCAGCGTGTCTCTACAATCTTGCCATCAGCCTTCGAAACAGATTCGAGCATCAGGGCATCCCGTCTGACCTTGATGAGGCCATTGAGCTCTATCGGGCTGCACTACTCCTTATTCCCCCCGGTCATCTTTATCAATCGAGGACTATCAATAATCTTGCCACCAGCCTTCATGAAAGATTCAAGCAGCGGGGCGTCCCGTCTGACCTTGATGAGGCCATCGAGCTCCATCGGGCTGCACTACTCCTTTGTCCCCCCGGTCATTCTGATCGATCAGCATCTCTCAACAATCTTGCTAGCAGCCTTCAGAACAGATTCGAGCAGCGGGGCGTCCCGTCTGACCTCGATGAGGCCATCGAGCTCCGTCGGGCTGCACTACTCCTTTGTCCCCCCGGTCATTCTGATCGATCAGTGTCTCTCAACAATCTTGCCAGCAGCCTTCGAAGCAGATTCAAGCATCGGGGCATCCCGTCTGACCTCGATGAGGCCATCGAGCTCCATCAGGCTGCACTACTCCTTTGTCCCCCCGGTCATTCTCATCGATCAGCGACTCTCGACAATCTTGCCAACAGCCTTCATCAGAGGATCAATCTCAATCAGCGGGGTGTCCCGTCTGACCTTGATGAGGTCATGGAGCTCCGTCGAGCTGCACTACTCCTTCGTCCCCCCGGTCATTCCGATCGATCAAAGTCTCTCAACAATCTTGCCAAAAGCCTTCATGAGAGATTCAAGCAGGGGGGTGTCCCGTCTGACCTTGATGAGGCCATCGAGCTCCATCGGGCTGCACTACTCCTTCGCCCCCCCGGTCATTCTGATCGACCATCGTCTCTCAACAATCTTGCCAGCAGCATTTATGACAGATTCAAGCAGCGGGGCGTCCAGTCAGACCTTGATGAGGCCATCGAGCTCTATCAGGCTGCACTACCCCTTTGTCCCCCCGGTCATTCTGATCGATCAGCGACTCTCGTCAATCTTGCCATCAGCCTTCAAAACAGATTCAAGCAGCGGGGCGTCCCGTCTGACCTTGATGAGGCCAACGAGCTCCGTCGATCTCTAAGTCCCCAAGTGTTCGCATCAATGAAACAAGACGGAAAAAGCTAGCATTGTATTGGTAGGCTTGGCGATGTGTGGAGGTGCAAACTCAGCCATGGCACAAGAATCAGATTGATCATTATTCAATGCGCTATGATGCATGCGGTTTCAGAAGTTCTAGGCTACATACAGGTTTACATAGTGGATCTGTACAGAAATATGTGCTGGATTTGAGCACAACGAGACAAAATATGAAATACATATTTTGATGAAGTAGTCGGTAAGCTATGTACGAGACAAAAAAACTAGAATGTCTAGACGATTCAGAAGATAGTTAGCTATGTGCTACAATGAGTCTCGTCGGTACCAGGAGAGACGCAACAAAGAAACAACACTACACGAACCCATCGTGTGGGGTTCTTGATGCGTTTCGCCTTATCACTAGCTGTTTCCTGCGGCGGCGGAGAAACATACAATGCCTTCAAAGTAATCATTAGACCTCAGAGATCGGAAACACATCCAAGAAAGACATACTTGTTTGTCGCGTTGCGCGACAACTTCGACAACCCGAGGACTGCAATGAAAAGAGGTAATTTGCCTTGACCATTGCTGAAGTTCGGTTGCTTCATTGGTGTTGGGTGGTGAGCGGAAGAGGGAGGACAGGCGACCAATAAATACACCTGGACGTGACCCCGGGGGCGTTGGGGATTGCTGAGGTTCAGTTGCCTCGTCAGTGTGGAGTCGAGAATGGGGTAAGAGTAAGGACAGGTGACCGAGGAGCATTTGTGGACTTAATCGCGCAAGAATTGGGGGTTGCGGAAGTTCGGATATTTCATCAGTGTTCGGCGGAGAGCGAAGGAGCGAGGACAGGCGATTTAGGAGTGACTCCAAAGACACTGGAGGTTTATGAGTTTCAATCGCTTCATTTGGTCGAGAGCGACGAAGGAACGAGGAAAGGCGACCACGGAGTGCAAAAAAATTAGGACGAGCATCAGCTGTTGCGGCGGACTGAAACTTAGTCTGACAATACAGAGATCAGGATAAGAACTTATTAATAGAAACGGTGATGACTCACATGAGCATCGGCTTTCCTGTCGTCAAAAAAACCTGGTGGGAGTTGATTAACATCCCCGAGCGGGTCAGGACATCCCGTAGCATCAGCCTGGAATGTCGATGAGATTATCACTGATGAGGTTGACAAGTACATCACGTACCTCCAAAAATGACTTAACTTCTAAGTCCTGCGACGACTCGGAGGGGGAAATGTCCTCTGTGTTTGAAGAGCCATGAGATAACTCGTGCACCTTCTGCTTGAGTTCAATTTTTGGTGCCTGATTGACAGAAAACAATGTCAAGATTATGTGATCCAGACAGTAGATGATAAGTTGACACTCACATCAAGTATGGGTAAGAGGTTTTCTAGGCCACTTGCTTTGAGGATGGCGTGAATGTTCCACACGTACGTGTTTTCATCCGCACAACCTGTGGATAGCAGCTTTCCATCAGCAGACAAGGCTGCATTGGTGACAGAATGCTCGTGCTGGAGGGGTGGACCGACTAGGAACTTTGTATCGAGATTCCACAGACGCACAGTCTGATCCTCTGATGTGCCCACAAGGAAACGGTCATTTGGTGACAATGCGAGGCCATAGACAGGGCTTCGGTGACCTTTAAGAACGGCGGTCTGCAGCCATGTGGCAGTGTTTAAATTGAATATCGTAATCGACCCACCCGAGGATCCGGAGATAAGTTTCTTTCCATCCGACGTCCAGGCCAGGCTCCGGACGACTCCAGCGGGTCCGACTGTCGACTCGGTGCTAAAAGTACTAGCCCTGAAAATCGAGAGTCGCTTGCCTGTCTTGGCGTCCCAGATGCTAACATTGAAACCCCCAGTCGCGATTTTTGTTGCGTCAGGCGAGTAGCTCACCGCATGCACCGACTCGTACCCCGTCTTGATTGGTTTCAGATCCAGGACCGGTGCAGCGCTGTTGACATTCCATATTTTTGCTGTTCCGCCGTTTCCTCCGCTTACTACTCGTTCACCATCCGGACTCCAACACACGCACCGCACAAATGAAGTGTGTCCTCTCCATCTGGCGGTGACCTTTCCCGTCTTAACGTCCCACAACCTCATTGTCCCATCAATGCTTCCGCTTACCATCATGTCGCCCTTCGGAGATAATGCTATGGTCTTCAATCCCACGTTATCCCCCTCATCTTTCCAGTCGTCGCCTATCTGAGCGCCGCTTTCTAGGTCCCACAGTTTAGGTGGACCGTTATACGAACACGTGATGATTCGCTGCCCTCCAGGCAGCGGGTGCACAACACCTTCTACGAAGCCGGTATGCCAGTGGCCTCGCATGGTCCTGTATGGTGTTATCGCTGGCATTTCAGCGGTGGAGAAGATGGGATGATCGGTGCTTAGGGATTTCTGCTGCTAAGGAAGACGGTAAACTAGGTGTGCGGGAGCAGCTCGACGCTGGATCTTCTTTGAATAGTTGCTGGAAAGTTAAAAAGCCTATCTGTTTTCACATCAACTTCTATCAATAGAAGCACACGAGAAATTGCTCACAAGAGAGCTCTTTGATCCTGACGCTTTCGGGACGGCGTATGAAGGGAAAGCTCGCTCCTCCGTTCGTCTCTTCGCAGAAGATCTCTACGAAATCCTGGAAGGGCTCTCAATCATACAAGATGCTGGTCGAAGTGTTCCTATCTTTTTTCTCACCGCGGCTACTGATGCTAGACAAGCGCCCACAGTATTACTCGCGGCAGTTACCAGTCTGATCAACTCGTCCAGATAAGCTCCACTGACGAATGAGAGTCGGGTGGGGGTTTGGTTTGGAGTTGAGGAAGCTGGGTTTTCGATCAAGTCGTCTTCTACGGTGCGACATGCTGTGGTGGCGCTTGCTGCACAGGTTAATAATGCTGTGCGAAGAAGCGCCCAGGGTTTATGTTATCCTGTGTTATATTCACACCTTCACAGTGCTGTGCAGACGAAGCGCTCAGTATACGACTGGTGCCATGTGCATCTTCATGCACCTTATGACAGTCTTCACGTACGGTACGAGCCATCTCCGTTTTATCTCATTAAAACCTGTCTATTTGAAGGGCCCAACTCGCAATCACGGTATGGTGCTGCAACTTGCTCTGTGTTGAACTTACTTCACGATGTCCCCGGTTGCTATCGTTCTGTAGTCACGCACCAACCTCCATTGTTCGAAGTCATAGTGTGGACGATGCTGGTGAATAATGGCACCAGCTACAAGAGGACCTCACGATGCGCAGGTCCTAGCTGACAGCGTCTGCTGGGGCGAAACAACACACTAGGCCAGTCTAACCACTATATTTCTTCTTCTTCTGCGCGTCCGTGTCGCACACTACACATATAGCGATTCCAATTATGGGAAACTCGCCCTCTTGAGTGAGTTCGAATCATGCCGAGAAAAACGAGTACAAATACTCGAGTTGAGTACTCGGTACGCAATCATGATCATGCACAGCCTTGCATCCAACGTAGTACTACTCATCATGTGCTTCTAGACTTTGATTCTGAACAGCAACAGAAGGCTCTTTTTGCAAACAATGATTGTGATGGGCCTTGACAGTCTTCAATGTTTGTGGCATATATATTGTATCGCCACATCATGTCGACAGCACAAGTTCATCGCTGATTCGATGTTCCGATGCATGCTGCATAGCTATCAGCTTGAGTTACTGTATGATGTACACAATTTTGTCGAGTAGATTTACTTGGCTACCCTCTACATGGAAAAGTACAACAATGTCCCAAGAGCGCATGGTCAATGCTTGCTTAAAATACGTGGACCTTAGAGGTGATGAGAGGAGCGCTTATTATGTAATAAACCCGCATACGTCCAAATCAGCTCATCGGTTACCACCACAGTGGTCAACGTCTTTCTTGTAATCCTGAGGTCTTCTTATAAACATCGTTCTCTTCAGCTGCAATCTGTGACAATGGTCTGACCAGTACTGTGTTTGGATAAAGAGCCAATCGTCATGAAATAGACCTCTTTGGCTGCCGTTCCGAGGACAACCAAAGCGCTCAGCGAACAAAGTGCTCAGAATCTGGTACCCGCCGGCCCTTTACTCCTACAGTCACTGCGAGAAGATATCGCTGTAGTGACGAGTGGTGAAAATGGCCTCAGCGCCATTGGAACAATGTCTTGGTTCTGCAGAGTGTTGCTGTCCACAAGGGAGCAGCCGCTTGAACCAATAACGCCTGACCTCCACGAGTGGACACACCCACACGAACAAAGCACCAGAAGACCTGTTTACCTGTGGATTCTTGTAAGATTGGCTTTATAAAAAGGATTGTTCAAATGGTCGAGCACCACTGACATCTTCTAATCATGCATCGCGCTCTTTTAGTCGACGATATCATTCATACCATTCTCCAAAATTTAAAGTCCTCCCGGATGGACTTGAGAAACGTGGCCCTGACTTGCTCCACACTCTCAGCTCACGCTCTTGATATGCTGTGGTCTGAACAGTCAAGTTTGGCACCCCTTATCATGTGCCTCCCTCAAGACACATTGGAGGTCGCAAGCGATTACACTATTGTGAGTCATGTATGCCATTTGAGTCTTGAGAGGATGATTCTCACCGTGCTCCATTTGCAGAATTTGACCCGCGAGCCGACTCCCATGGAGTGGGAGCGTGTCAGAATCTATGCGTCAAGGATACGCAGGCTTCTTTACGACATCGGCGACACCCCTTGCATGCAAACCCCGAAGCCATGTACCAGCCTTGTCTTACAGAGACTTTTCGCGCGGTTCCCTCCCCCGTTGTTATTCCCCAACCTGTGCGCGTTGGATTTCAACGCAGTGTTTGATCAGCCGGAGTTTCGTTCAAACTTGTTGCTACTGCGCCAGTTCTTTTCGCCAGGATTAGAAGTGCTCTGGTTCGACGTACCGACGCGGGGCGTCCTGACGCACGATGTCGAGCAATTAGTTAGTGCTCTCTCCGTTGAGGCATCCGGCCTGCAACATCTTTCAATATCGTCGGCCCAAGGTATCTCGCCTATTGCAGTACCTCCGAGTCTCGGAAAGCTGCCAAAGCTAATTCAACTGGAGATGAACGGAATCAACGTAGCCCTGACGAGGCAGAGCATTACCAATATCCAGCAATCTCGGTGTCTTCAAATCCTAAAACTTACTTTGCGCGGAACGTCCACCAATGTGGAAAACATGCCATCGGATAATATGCCACTCGAACTGAGCACTCTCAAACACCTCTCTCTCTTTGGCGATTGCTTGCCACAGTTCACGTACTTCCTTCGTCAAGTTACCACCCCGCAATTATCATCCATCCATATCAATTACTGGACACCTGCTTCCCAGACAGCAATCGCGGCGTTCATGAAGTCTTTATGCAAGTCTTGCCAAACTTCGGCATGTCTGGAAGAGATCTGTGTGGTCGGCGAATTGCGTCAGGATCCGGAGCCTGACGATTTCAGCCCACTCCCCTCCCATATTTTCCGGCCTTTGCTCGAATTCCAAAAGCTGTCGACATTGAGATTCATCGGTGTTGGCCAGTACTACTACTTCGACGATGCGTTCATCGCCGATGCTGAAGCAGCCTGGCCAGCTATTCGTGAATTGCAGTTTTCCTCACACCTCAAAAAGATTTGGCACCACCTGGATGATTAATGTATCGCTATTATAGACTATAGGTTCCCTACTACATTTGTTAGCCGTAGCCGTGTATCATAGTACTCTGTGTTCCCCTACTATACTACCTTCTGTTGACGAGATCGTGAGATCCATATGTGATCATCAGTGACGCCAACTCTGGACACATCGAGATCGCACGGTCAACTCGGAGCCCATCTAGTATGATCATTTAGCTAAGAATGGACACGCTGGATGTGTTGTGCCTAGTACATAGAGTACACCCAACTGTGCTACCGCATATAATCATGAAGTAACGATTGAGCTGAAACTAAGACAATGTCCGTGAAATTATAACTTGAAAGAGGCTGCAGCGCAGACGAACAAGACAATTTCAATAAAATAAATCAACCACGCCATACATATTTATGCTTCCGCCCACTTGGCCGAAACGGAATATGACTCAACACTGTCATGCCCCGGCCTAGCTGCTCTTGCAACGTTGGTTTCTTCTGCTGCGACCGATACATTTGTGAATGCTAGGGTCGTAGGAACTGGACTAAATGGGGTTGACCATTCATGCGTAACTGCCCTCCCCCGTGCCACACGTATGATGATGAATAATTGTGTAATTCCCTGTTTGTTGAAATAAAGAAACCAACATCAGAGACGCAGTATATAACTCGGGCTTCTTTCTGCCCGCATACCTGAATTTGATTGATAGACAGGAAGCATAGAGTGGAGAGAGCGTTTGAATGCACAGCAAATGCAACTATGAAGATCAGGATGAAGACACTGAATGCCATGGCAGACTCGACGACCATGAGGATGATGGTATCATGGGTCCCAGAATCATATTCTGCCAATGCCTGCTTCATCTGGCTTCGTATGCCGAGCAAACGTTTCGTCACGAGAATGGTATAAAGTACAGTGTGCGCCACTTGGAAAGTGAGGTATGCAAGTGCGGCGCTGATAGTGTAGAATGGCGCCCCGGTACCCGCCTGGACCAAGACGACAATAGCTGATCCTGCTCAAGATGTCAACGACTGCTACCGCTTTGTAAATGATGTAACTGCACCAATCATGCCAATATAGAGGGCGACCATGGGGATCATCACTTGTCTCGCCCAATTCCATATCACAAAACATCGGTAAAGCTGAGTATTTTATTTCAAGCATCAGGCTTGCACGTATGGCAAACAATACGGCTCACAAGTAGGGTTTGCATCAACCACTCCGTAACGTAACCACTAGATGAGATCATCAACACTGCCTTCAGATTGATAGGCAAATGCACATACCAACATATCGCCAGAAAATTGATACGGTACTGCATTACGTTCTCGATCAGCGCGACAGGACCACCAGGCGCATCACGAAGGTCTATCCAAATCATCTCCGTATATTTTGCGTTGCAAGCAAAGCTTATCGTCCCCAATGCAAACGTGATGAGTGTGTAACAAAGAAGGGTGCGACGATTATTTGCAATTTTCTGCCCATGTCGGGGACGTTGGATGAGAGCAGTCACGGCTTGTACTGTAAGCAGAAGGTATACCCCTATTTGTGGTTCGTAGGTCAACTACCGAACCATCGTGAGTGGACCGAAAACGCACCGTAGGATATAGCTCCCATCATCATTCCAACGAGACGAGACCGTTCAAGCGACAAATTTGTCTGTGGAGTATAGGATGACATGGCCCAGGATTTGGGAAGATAAGGAGATTGTCAGGAAAAGGGGTACTAATATATGGCACTGGCAAGCGGTGAGAATAACCAGCAGGGTGGTTTAAAGACTGCTAGAGAAGAAGCACATATATAGAGACTCGCATTGATAGAGTTTTCACCTGAGAGAAAGAATGCATCGACTGGTAATATACTGCGACACCGGTAAGTCGAGACCCTTTTACGTGAAGTGACCAAGAAGAGGGTTGATATATTAATACAGTCATCCACCTGAGTTCAGCGCCCATGAAGACTTTGACGTGGGAATGGACTGACCTCAAAAACTCTCAGACATCTTCATTTGTCAATATTCATCGTTCGAGGTTTGCTGAATTATGGATTAGCTGCTCGTCACGCTGAACACTGACGACGTCTGCATGCATACCGTTCATTAGATTCTTCTGGCGCCCGTTTCAGGCTTGCCCCATGCATATTACAGTATTCATCCAAATGAGCAAATGCTCACCCAGTGACATCCACCCTAGTAGGCGTGCCTTAACAGGAACGAATGACTTGATCTTGATCGAGCTTGATCTACTTGTCTGCTTTGTCAGAGGGAAAATGATGTGGAGGAGCAAATGAAATGTACTTGGTCGTTTAATATTGCTTCATGTTACTTACTGGTCCCCAAGAGATGACAAGTTCAAGTTGGGCCTTTTAATTAAGAAAGTTAGGATCATACAGATGCACGATCCACCAGGTAAATGTGACTGCTTGCTGACATCATTATCATTATCACCGAATAGAAATCAAGTGGCATGCCAGGCAGTTGGTTTGCTCCCAGAATTGTGCAGAAGGTCCTGGCGGAACGCCGCAGAACGTCAGGGAGTGAAGTTGATACTGACATAATACCCGAGGCAGTGGTACGACATGGCCGTTCGAGAAGATCCCGTGATGCTGGGGTCGACAAGAGGTGCGAGTTCATTTTCGTTGTGGCTGAAGACACGTACGTGAAGTGTCAGATAGTCGGTCGTAGAACGAGAAGATGGCGCTATAGTATCCAGAAAGTCAGATCTTGTTCAACAACTTGAAGATGGACGATGACTCTGACATTGTAAGCCAGAGCAAACTAGAATATTTAGAACATTGTTCCTCACCGCGAACCAAGTACACTGGGCCGTAAGTTGAGTTTGATTCCCAAGTCATTGCAATGTTGACTCGCGTTTGACTCGGCGTCATCTTTTTCTCTTCAGGAGCGATCCGTAACAACTTTCGGATCGAGAATTAAGTACCTTATGTAAGCCTCTTTCGCTGCCGATCGGACAACTGAAAGCGCTGAGAGAAAAAGTGCTTGGCAGAATCAGGTACCTGCCGGCGCTCTCCTCTCAAAGTGACTCCACATGAACGGTGAGGCCTTGAGACTTTCACGTTGTGACGTGGATGACTATATGGGCTTATCTTGCTTTCGGCGTCAAGACGATATTAAGAACACCGTACTGCATCCAGCGAAAAAATACCGATGTACATTGTACAATTGTACTCTGAGCTCGGACTCGCTGAACACAAACTTCCTACATGCAGCTGAGGAAGAAGAGTGGGAGAGGAAAGCAACATCTACGTTGGAAACATTAGGTAGCGTTCACGTAGAGGACGGGTACGGTTTACATACATCCGTCTATTTTCCATGCGCTGACCGTTAATTAGTCCTGCCGCAGACCACGCATTCTATGTCTCAAGCGATCATCGATCATCTTCGATCGGACAAGTTCGTAGTCGAAACCTTTGCAACTGAACTCAGGGATGCAAACTTTGATCCCGAATCATCAGAGTAAGTCGAAAAAAGTGCGTTTGACATTCCCTAGCAAAGCAGCAGGTATCCTACAATGACGCATTTCTTCATGACGCGTTTCTTCGCCCACCTCTGCCTTTATTTGCAGATGATCGACATTCAGTGCCGCTGCTTGCGACCCAAGTCATTTTTGAGGCTTACCTACAAGTGTTGGAGGTGAGAGGTTGTCCTTAGTCATTTTGTTCCTCACTAACTTCCTTGTCAGGCTGCAGGCCAACGAGAGTTGATTGCAACGTATGCTGGCGCACTAAGAGACAACGCAGTCGAGCGATATGGAGGTTCTACCATCATGGCTCAATACGGTACCTGAAGTGGCTTCATGTGCTGGGAGGGTTTTGCTTGCAAAGAACCTTGTGGAGATGCTTCCGCGTGAACTCCCCTCCATCGACCAGCCTGAGAAACGAGCCACAGAATACCTTCACTACAGGCAGTTCTTTACGATGCAGGACAGTCTTGACCGTGTCGTGGAGTGCCAGAGCCTATAGCTATCGATAATGAACCGGAACACCAGGGCTGCTTGGTTAATTGAACAGGCTTACAATGCAGTCGTGAAACTGCTGACTTCGGATTGGATGATGCCAGGCGAGACAGGAGACCGTTGCTCCCGCGAGCTAACTCGCACTCGGCAGATATACCTCCCCGAGCTTAATACTGCGGCTGCATGTCATACTTTACGCCGCTCGAGAGCATATCCCAGAGTAAATATAACTTTGCATGTGGTACCTGCAGTTTTAACACATCTTGGACAGGAATCTGAAGCACGCATTTGAGCTTGCCAACATTGTTGCGGATTCAAGGTACATGCTGCATAATGATTTCTCGCATATTGATGGCTGGAGGCTTGGGGAGGCCTTAACGCAGTGCGCCGGGTGACCATGGTTGGCTGGGAAGGGGGTGGATCTGATTGTTTAGTCGTAATTGTATGCATTCTCTTGATATTTGTTCACTATCGATATCTTTATGCAATGCCGCTGGAATTATGAGCCTAAATATTGGTGGGCTGCGAGGTCGTGGCTTGTCCCTTCTATGTAGAAAGGATGTGTAGGTTGTAGGATGCTCTGCATCCTATGCCACGCAAAGTCTTCAGTGACCGCAGAGAAATATATTAACAAAGAAGAGCCATGCACCAGCCCATCCCACCAAGTCCCGTATCAACAGCCAGCTTATTTATATGTTTGACACAGCAATGTATAATCATTCAATGCATCGGTGCTTGCAGTACTAGTACACAGCGCAAAAAAAAACAGAGTATCGTGCAGACATGATTTGAATAACTGGGATCTAGGTGGGACAACAGGGTAATGAAAGCAATCAGGATAACATAGACTGCAGTAACATGACGAATAAATCAAACTAGACACCCATGTGAACAAACACGATCTGCTGTTCTAGTGGAATCTTCTTGCGCAACGATTTCATAGTCTTGTGCAATGCTACCGCAGCCCGCGTGCAGTCCAATCTCCCTGAGCCATCGACCAGTTTGCGGTAAAAAACGGACACAACTTGTAGTGCAACCTCATCGTCGACAGACCACATGGAACCTATCACACTGCGAAATCCAGAGAATTGCATTGCCGCAGCGAGATGTATCGCCTCGTCGGGACTCTTTTCATGGCCCACGGTGGTGTGGCAAGCCGATAAGAATGCAAACTCCAGGTTCTGCCAGTTGGACCGGATGATTTCCTTGATCGTCAACGGCCCATCGCGCATTGCGAAGGAAGAGTCGAACGATTGTGTCCGGTGTGGCATTCCATGGCAAGCTAGATGGAGCCACTGATTATGGTTTAGTGCATCAAGTGCACCCTGGACTGTTGCGTCGCTATCCTCGAGTGATTTGAAGGCGACGACGGGCCCAAGATGCTGGGCGACAATGGCTAACTCGGGAGCGACATGACAGAGTTCCTTCCCTCCGTCCGGATTTGCTTGACCGATGGCAACAAAATGTTGTGTGGACACCTCTTGAGAAACCCGCTGTCTCGCCCGGATGAGTGTCGCCAAAGTGGGGGTGTAAGAGGAGATGTAAATGTCAGATAAGTTGTTTTTGTCCTTCCCGTACGGTCCTGCTGCATGAAGAGGAAGAAGTGTGAACTCGGCAGTGGGGCACCACCAGATACGCGAGCCATGGTGAATTTCAGACGCCCTAAGAGCTCGGACCACGGGGTCAACAACACGATCCCAAACCTTGCGGAGGATGCTGACAAGTCTGTATTGACAATCAGAAGCACCAAATTCCTCTGTGAGGGACTGGAGCTCCGAAGACAACTCGGAGACTTCAGTCTGCGGGATATCGAGTGGAACGTGGACAGGGTCTTGTGCACTCAAGATAATCAAGGCGTCACAGCCATATTGGCTAGCATTGACGATGATGACAGGGCCTTCAGCAGCAGCCTTCTGTAGGTTGGAGAAAAGGGGAGGCAGGAGAAACCGAGAAAAGTCGGGCAACATGCGGATGCGGGAGACGACATCATTCCATTGCATGGTCAGTTGTCGGATTTGTGGGGACTGCTCTCCAGTAGACTGATCAAGCGCGCTACGAAGGCTAATGCTCAGCTGCTTGAACTCTTTCTCCAAAGCTGCGCCGGTGTCACCGGACAGGGAAAGTTCATCGAGCGGTGAGCGCAAGCGTGCCAACTGGGTCCAGAATACGGCACGGCCTTGCTCCACCAGTTCCACAGCAGTTGTCAGTGCGCCATGACGAATACTGCACGAGAAAGCATCCATGGCAAGTGAAGCTGTGGCCGTCCTGACGACATCAAATAGGTGTGGAGAAGGCGACAGTATAGTAACATGCTGATCTAGGAATTTCAATGCAGTTTGATAGGCAAGCAATGCAGAATCATGGTTCATATCTTCGGCAGAGATGGTCCATGTCTTGGCAGCGGTAAGATCCGTATGGGAGACTGCATGAGGTAGGTAGGAGAGTTGCACATACACCCTAAATGCTTCATCCAGGTCAGATTGGGTGCCCCGCTGCCAAAATCTGTTTTCAAGGCTGATGGCAAGATTGTGCAGAGACGCTGATCGATCAGAATGACCGGGGGGACGAAGGAGTAGTGCAGCCCAATGGAACTCGATGGCCTCATCAATGTCAGACGGGACGCCCCGCCGCTCGAATCTGTTTCCAAGGTTGATGGCAAGATTGTGGAGAGTTATCGGTCGATTAGAATGACCGGGCGGACAAAGGAGTAGTGCAACCCGATAGAGCTCGATGGCTTCATCAATGTCAGACTGAACGCCCCGCTGCCTAAATCTGTCATTAAGGCTGTTGGCAAGATTGTTGAGAGACTGTGATAGATTAGGATGACCGGGGGAACGAAGGAGTAGTGCAGCACGATGGAGCTCGATGGCCTCATCAAGGTCAGACGGGACGCCCCGCTGCTCGAATCTATTTACAAGGCTGTTGGCAAGATTGTTGAGAGACTGTGATCGATCAGAATGACCTGGGGGACGAAGGAGTAGTGCAGCCCGATGGAGCTCGATGACCTCATCAAGGTCAGACGGGACGCCCCTCTGCTTGAATCTGTCATCAAGGCTGTTGGCAAGATTGTTGAGAGACTGTGAATGATCAGAATGACCTGGGGGACGAATGAGCAGTGCAGCCCGGTGGAGCTCGATGGCCTCATCAAGATCAGACGAGACGCCCCGCTGCTCGAATCTTTTTTGAAGGCTGACGGCAAGATTGTTGAGAGACTGTGATCGATTAGAATGACCGGGGGGACGAAGGAGTAGTCCAGCCCGATGGAGCTCGATGGCCTCATCAAGGTCAGACGGGACGCCCCGCTGCTGAAATCTGTTTACAAGGCTGTTGGAAAGATTGTTGAGAGACGCTGATCGATCAGAATGACCGGGGGGACGAAGTAGTAGTGCAGCCCGATGGAGCTCGATGGCCTCATCAAGATCAGACGGGAGGCCCCGCTGCTCGAATCTGGTACGAAGGCTGGTGGCAAGATTGCTCAGAGACAATGATCGATCAGAATGACCGGGGGGACGAAGGAGTAGTGCAGCCCGATCAAGCTCGATGGACTCATCAAGGTCAGACGGGACGCCCCTCTGCTTGAATCTGTCATGAAGGCTGATGGAAAGATCGTTGAGAGACTGTGATCGATCAGAATGACCTGGGGGACGAAGGAGTAGTGCAGCCCGATGGAGCTCGATGGCCTCATCAAGGTCAGATTGGACGCCCCGCTGCTCGAATCTGTCACGAAGACTGTTGGCAAGATTGCCGAGAGACGTTGATCGATCAGAATGACCGGGGGGACGAAGGAGTAATGCAAGCCGATGGAGCTCGATGGCCTCATCAAGGTCAGATTGGACGCCCCGCTGCTCGAATCTGTCATGAAGGCTGTTGGCAAGACTGTTGAGAAACTCTGATCGATCAGAATTACCGGGGGGGCAGCTCTGCAAGGCCGCTCGACACTCTTGTACCCTGTCCGCCATGTTGTTAAATCAAGTTACACGAGGACTGTCACTGGTTAAGAACTTGAACACGGGGAGGATGAAGGGGCCGAAGAGCGCGGACGACACTACATCGGCAAAATCCCACATTTCCTTTTTCGTCTTGTTTGTATTACTTAGCGGTTAGCAGATACTATCATTCCCTGTAATATGTCCACGGTTACTAATATGCAAAAAGTTCATAGCACTTCAACATCGTGCTTAAGTGACATTGAAAAAATTCAAGGATGCGCAGAGTACCTATAAGTGATGTTTTGTAAAAGTAGAATAAAAGATTTTGGAATATTGCAGCTGCGAGAGATGAAATAGTGGTGTTTTGAAACCTTCTCCCAACACAAATCATCCAGATCCCGAAGATCCTGCAAAGGTATTTGTAAAATTTTACCTAGAGCACAATGAACACCTTCTAGGGATGTCAGAAAACCAATTCGATAAAGGCTACTCTCTTGCGCTGAGGTGCTACAGTGGTAGAATCAACGACAAGTACAATAGCGTGACACAGGACAGGGGAGATGTGTAAGTAATTCAAACTCCTCCTCGGCATACAGGTATTCCCCCCCGTATTACCCGATGCCAGCATCATGCGGAGAGCGAAAGTCGACTGTGCGGCTACTGTGCCGAGGTGTGACAGGACGTGACAAAATGTTGCAGATTAGAGAGTAGACCCTGAGTTTTATCGGGTTTGTTCCGACATCACACCACATCATCCTAAAAATCAGTAAAAATCAGATCCATGTAGAGGAGATACAAATCTATGACGGAGCAAATTTGCGAAAGAAAATGTGATGTTGCTGAGGAGCTACAAAAGTTTTGCTGAAAATTTTGCATGTTATAGGGAATGATAGTATACGAAGATTGTTGCGATGCTCTACAATATTATAGCTATATATCTTCTGTTCACCAGTTCTCTGATGCACACAGCATAAACTCGCAAACTATTACTTTCGGATAACATCGCACAATCTCAGATTTCCTCCAAATATTCTCACATTTTCCTGGATCCAGATTATCTCTTCATGTATTGTCCGACTTTCTCAAGTTACTGCGTTGTTTCTCGACAGGCAATATGTATGACAAGTCAACGTGCGTGCGTACGTCATGATGCATGATGTCGCACCCAGTTTGCGAAAATCGTCTAAGTCCCACGCGGTGAACTCGTACTTAGTTGTGATTTTGTTCTGGTTGGCCCCAGCACTCTTGACTCTCGACCATGACCACGCACCAGGATCCTTAATGCACACACAATTTATGGTGATGTTGCATTGGGAGGCTCTTGTTTATCATGCTAATCACCCTCACGAGCCTTCACAGATACAACAACTTGACGACTTGTGTTCAATGTATGTGATTTTTTACTTGACCAATTTCGGGGCTGATGTTATATTACATTGTCCCGCGCAGCTCGAGGAACTTATAGACATCCGAGGTTCGACGTGTTATCATGTGCGAGACAGCCATAGCTCATGTACGTTGTCAACATTTCTCGATGAGTTATTCATCTGACTATCCATCAATCATCCACACACAGCCGCCGCCATGCTCTCGCTTCGAGTCTCGTTAACCGGAATTGATCTTGCAAATTGATTGGGTATGTTATCTGGTTGACAATATGCGCATATATTCACTTTATTTTAGTAGGGCTATCCACTTTACACCCAGCTTGATACTTCCAGTGAGATATCTATACGAGTAATGATTTCTGAAAGCTGATACCCCCATTTTTTTTTCTCCAGCTTAGGTACTCGCCGTCTCGATCTCTCTCATCACAAGCTCTCGAGCCGGAACTTGCGGAGCACAGTGCTGGCCTGGCGGGTGTTAGTTGTACTCTGCTATGTAGTACATACCCATAATGTCCATGCATTCAATGATATATTAATGAGCTGCAGCTGGGACGAGCGTGCACAAGCTATAGCGTGCTACCAAACAATATTTTGAATATAGCAGCAGCAGCATATATATATCAATTGTACTGGAGAAATATCTGTGAATTGTGGGTATATTCTAGGGGAAAATGTCGCTATAATGATAGCAAAGTCTGTAACTTTTGGCAAATTACCAGATAAGAGAGTCTGACAGAAAATGTGGTGATATTCTCGTGTAATTTCACACTTTATCCACGTTTTACCCTTTTCATAATCTACCGGTTTGTGCTGTGGCACTGGTATTGGTGTATGTACTATGAAAGCAGCAACAGATGAAGAAAAAGTCAATCACGTTTGTGATTCGTCTGAGCGTGCAACAAAAGTGCCACAAGAGGCCCCCGGAACATCACTGTCCCGTGAAAAAATGGACCATGCTCTACATACCCCAGTAACTTACATAATGACAATCATCAGCGAAATATAGGCAGGTGGAATGATCGATTCACGCAATGGAATATATAGGATCCCTCTTTGCATAATACTACAAATTTAGATCGCAGTTCGGACAAGCACAAATTTTTCTGCTTCATTTTCGAGTCATTAAAATTATCAGACATGATTGGAGCGGGAAGGAATTCACGCACTTTAAGTTATGATTGGATCACCGCAGTCTTTCTGAAGGCTGACATGTCTTGCTATGTATAGGAACCCTGTTTGTATAAATCTTCAATTTTAGATTGCAATTTTGCAGGACAACGTTAATTCTACTGTATTATCTTACTGAAAATGCTTGGAGTGTATTGCAATCTGTTATTTTATGCTGAAAATGACCACCCTCAGTTTTTATTGTGCCAAAGCCAGAGGAGCTCAGTCTTTAAGTAACATGTCCATCAACGCATGCGGCTGAGAGGCTTTGCAAGGGTTCGAATGAATGCGCGCAAGTCAAAACAACATAAATTCAGTTTGAAAATATAAGTAGAAGCATTTAGAATATGATTGAGCGTGCCAAGAAGCTTTGTTCGTTCGAAGGGCGTCACTCGGTTCAAACACATGTGCGAAAATTGTTCTATTGAAGGGGGTTTGCCAAAGATTTAAATATATATGTGCAAGTTGATCATCCGCATAAATTCGGTCAGCAAAGACAGGTAGAAACATCTAGCATAGAATTGAGCGCATCAAAAAGCAATGCTCGTTCGTTCAGAGAGGCTTGCCAGGAGTGAACCATTAAGAAATTTGTATTCAAGTTTAGAGATAATGAGAGTGTGAACATCCGCTAGGTAATTGCGCGCAAGAACATGGTGACTAGTATGTTAAGGAGAATCCCCCTCATGAGCTTCCCTCTGCGAACTCATCCTCGCAACTGAGAACTTCCCAAGCTGCGCTGAAGTGAGGGGAACTGTGCGAATCTTTCCAAACACTTTCCTGCAAGCAATGCGGAAAGTTAAAATATGAGACACGACAATAGTGAAAATTTACCTGTTCCACCATTTGAGCAACTCGTTGATGCGGGCCTGAGCATCAGCGCCCGGTACGACCTCAAAAAAGTCTACAATGTTGTTGTAGAAATCGTAGTAGTCGAAGTCTCCGTCAACACTCCGCCAGGAGTTAATGTTGGAAAGGGCGAAACGAAGCTATACCCATGATCAGTTTCAAAAGGAAGGTCAACACAACAGAAAAGACAAACCTGACAAGTTGTGTATGCAATAGCGCGCGGGGTGACTGTCTTCATACCAATGATGTTAGCTACATGACTGCGGTTGACCGCGTCATTCTCCGAGGACCGACGGCGCTGAGATGCTGAGATGACATCAGCGCCATTGCCATCACCGTCGATTTCTTTGGCGGAGGACGGGGACGTGAAGAGGTGTTTGAATGCCTGCAAAAATCAGCAGCACCACCCTCGACATGCAGTAGAACTTACTTTGAGTAGTAGAGTCGAGCGAAAAAGACCTTTCTCGATGTTTGCAGAATCAAAGGAGTAGTCTTTGTATATGAACGCTGGCCAAGAGTAAGCGGTAACTAGGAAGTCGGAATCCCGGTCTCTGATCTTGTCCTTGGTCCTGTTGTAATGATGAAAATGTTATTAATGCGAAATCAAGTTAATGATACGTACGAGGAGAGAGACCACACATACTCGACCGGACACAAGAGCATGCCGGTGGTGTTATGGACAAACCCGCGATCGTCTTTGATCGTGGTGCGAAGGGGGGGGTCCAATGGATGAAAGAGTTCATTGAGCCATACCACGACCGCATGCTTGAGATTTGCGGTGTCATCCCCTCGTGCACTGTCTGCGCCTTTTCGCAGCTGAGGATATATAGTGAGTAAAGGAGAAACATTGCCAGAAGAAATGTTCACCTCTTTCAAAATCGAATCCAATTCCTCGACATCTGAAAAAAGTTTCTTCTTCAGCCAAGGGAGGCAACGAAGGAGTTCGTTGAAAGAACTAAATGTCCTGTCCTCGCTGGTACAAGTTAGGATATGACAGCTAGACCGTGGATGAAAACGTACTCTCGAGTTGTAACAAGCTCATCTTGGGAATCGAGTGATTGCAGTAAGTCTTCTCGTCGATCGTTTTCGGCCACGAGGTCCTCAAGGCTATCGAACAAAGAAACGAGCCGGCGAATGCCCCGTCCTTTGTGTACATTGGAGTTGGAGTGTCTGTGTACCCAACTGAATAAGAGCTCGTCGCGCAAGCAAAAGGAGGTTGGGGACTCACGGCTTGCTCCGCTTGCTCGCCCTAATATTTTCGAGCTCCTGCTCCAGAGCCGCAATACGTCGTTTGGCACGGGCAGCGGTAGTATCATCCTCGCGGTCGCTGTCAGATTCTTGTTGTGGTAACACCATGAGGATCAACTTGGGTGAAGGACGAACAACTTACAGTAAGCGCATTGTTCAATGTTTATATCATATTTCGAGAGAGGGGTGAACTGTAGTTGGTATGAAGGCGGACACACGCTCGCTTGAGATGCTGTGGAGCGCAAGGTGTTCCAAAACCTGCTCGCTTGAGGTGTGGAGCCGTTCGCTGCTGAGCCCCACGTAATATGCTGTCATTCCGTAAACATCGAAAAGAAGTAAGTACGGCATTAGTCAATCAACAGATAAATCACATTGGGTGCGCAGCAACACTGAGAAGTTCATGAGAAATGAAATTTTGCCACCAGCGATAGCAGCTGCTGTTCGAGAAACAAATGTGCTAATATAACTACGAACATGCAAGGTACATGGCAGGATCCATTTTGCGCCTGCAAAAAAATCAGTTGGGCGAACCCTGGCAAAGGAATACTACCAATACTTACATAGCGAGGTTCACCGTATCCTTCAGTTGGATGCGAACAACATCCCCAGCAGCGGCCAATTCGCCAGCCATGATGTGGACGTCGGTAAGGAAACTTTCGGTCTCGCTGAGAGTAGCCACGTCTTGGGAATACAGGGGATCGAAGGCTTGAATCAAGGCCCAGTTCCACTGCCCTTTGAATGCGCGATGTAGCTAGAGCCACTTCAGTCACTGTAGATTGAATATATATAAATATATACACTTACAAGAATAATGGCAGAAGCAAGGCTGAAACGAAAGTTAGAAAGCGCTGCTGGGCAGAGTAGGCTCCTTGTGGAGCGCGCGCTTTGCAGTTCGTTTCTCAATGCGTTCCCAAAGAACTTTGGACTGGAAATAAATTCAGCCAGTAAGCAATATGGAAGTGGGGCATGGTATTGGAATTTCTGGCCCTAAAGAGACATCAGCGCGAAGACAAAGAATCGATCACTAGACCAACCAATCCTATATCACGTACGTGCAGCCATTCGAACGCTGTATCAACTTGATTCAGCCGTAGTTGTAGTATTAGACCTACATATTATGGCAACTACCATTCTTACCATAGACACTTTTGACGGCAATTACCAGCAGCGCAATTTGACCTAATCCATGGCATTTGTCAGGCCCTATTTTGCTGGGTGTTTTGGCTTTCACAGCCGCATTTTTTGGATTTTTGAAACTCAGCTATGTTTTCAGTCACAAATGTGTTTTCCACATTTGTCAGATGTTTTGGTATGTTTTATTCCGCAATTTTGGCCTCCAAAAGCGGAAATTCACAAAACACATCCTGTTTTGGTCACCTCCTCATGTCAGGCCTCCCCACATTATTCCCACACTCCACATTTTCGCATTTTTAGCCACCTACTGTGGGAATTACCCCACAACACCCAAAACATCATCCCAATATGGTATACCACATAATTATAATTATTCCCACACCCTCCCACCTCACTGCAGCTTCACCACTACACCACAATAGGTCCCCCCTTGTATCTAAGTAGTAGTTTGGTATATACATGTATAATATTATATAATAGACCGCTTTTTTTGTCAATTTGTGTGCCTGCTCATCCTCCAGGGCCTTTTTCAAACAGGGTAGGGTACAGAACATGTTCGCATTTTTGCCCCTTTGATAGGGGGGTGTTCCAGGACATTCAGAACATATTTATGAGCATATATGAGTAGATTCCCATCTTTATTTCACCCCCTGAAGTGTCCTACATCAATAGATATAGCACATATGCAAGAAAACACAGAATATGTTCTCATGTGATTATTTCTAGGTGAAGAGCCTTGTAAAAATGATTCCCAGCATCTATTTAACAATAGGAACAATGTATCAGGAGCCCAGGACCATAGGATAATTCCCTGTTGCATGGTGTGCCCCCCCTCTCCTGGTGGTTTACCCCCTGTGAAAATTTTTCCTGTAGGACCGGACCTCAATTGAGGTAGGGGGTCTATTCCTATGTATATTTGAGGTAAGTCTATCATATAGCTGGCCCAGGACACACATAGGATCCTGCTACAGGAACAAAAACATAGAAAATCGCATTTTTGACACTTTTGATGTTTTTTAGTCCCTTACACTTGCATAAATAATACAACCTGTTCATATATCATTATCATAGTATATATACTTGCTTTTTGTGACAAGGATCAGCTCAAAATAGGCCAGAGGTTTGAGTTAGTGTGAATACTTGCTATTTCTACTGATAAGGATCCCATACTTTCAATACATCGAAATTTAATAATCAGACACCTGGAGTAGATTTCAAATATACTCAGTATCATAGTCCTAAATGTACAGAACAATCCTACAAGAATTGAGTGCTGAGGAAGTGAAATAGATAAGAAATTGAGTGTGGGAAAGTTCAAAGACCCAAAACATCGAAAATGGTCAGTTGAGCAATAGTAGCATTTTTAATGCTAGGTCAACTCAGATATACACCACATCCCTTCCACCACCCTTCAACCTCAGGGCAGTATGTAGTATATGTTCCTTTAGTAGTCTACAATGTATCCTACATATTGTTAATGAAATATTTGACCTGTATCATATATAAATGTAACTTTGTGTAAAAAGATGTCAATTGTCACTTTTCACACATATGTGGTTTTACTTGTCATTCAGTCAGTCCTTGATGGATCTTTCTAAATCTTCAAATCTATCATCAGGGGCATATATAGGACATATCCCAGGTCTTTGATTACTTATCACAGGCTTGATTACTATGTAGGCTTCTTATCAGTAGAAAAAGCCCCTGTACATCATATCTCACATTTGCACCCTATGTAGGGCTGATCCTTGGCACAAAACATATTTGTGAATGTACTACTGATCATATATGAGCAATCCTGGTCATTTGTGCAAGTGTAAGGGACTAAAAAACATCAAAAGTGTCAAAAATGCGATTTTCTATGTTTTTGTTCCTGTAGCAGGATCCTATGTGTGTCCTGGGCCAGCTATATGATAGACTTACCTCAAATATACATAGGAATAGACCCCCTACCTCAATTGAGGTCCGGTCCTACAGGAAAAATTTTCACAGGGGGTAAACCACCAGGAGAGGGGGGGCACACCATGCAACAGGGAATTATCCTATGGTCCTGGGCTCCTGATACATTGTTCCTATTGTTAAATAGATGCTGGGAATCATTTTTACAAGGCTCTTCACCTAGAAATAATCACATGAGAACATATTCTGTGTTTTCTTGCATATGTGCTATATCTATTGATGTAGGACACTTCAGGGGGTGAAATAAAGATGGGAATCTACTCATATATGCTCATAAATATGTTCTGAATGTCCTGGAACACCCCCCTATCAAAGGGGCAAAAATGCGAACATGTTCTGTACCCTACCCTGTTTGAAAAAGGCCCTGGAGGATGAGCAGGCACACAAATTGACAAAAAAAGCGGTCTATTATATAATATTATACATGTATATACCAAACTACTACTTAGATACAAGGGGGGACCTATTGTGGTGTAGTGGTGAAGCTGCAGTGAGGTGGGAGGGTGTGGGAATAATTATAATTATGTGGTATACCATATTGGGATGATGTTTTGGGTGTTGTGGGGTAATTCCCACAGTAGGTGGCTAAAAATGCGAAAATGTGGAGTGTGGGAATAATGTGGGGAGGCCTGACATGAGGAGGTGACCAAAACAGGATGTGTTTTGTGAATTTCCGCTTTTGGAGGCCAAAATTGCGGAATAAAACATACCAAAACATCTGACAAATGTGGAAAACACATTTGTGACTGAAAACATAGCTGAGTTTCAAAAATCCAAAAAATGCGGCTGTGAAAGCCAAAACACCCAGCAAAATAGGGCCTGACAAATGCCATGGATTAGGTCAAATTGCGCTGCTGGTAATTGCCGTCAAAAGTGTCTATGGCAAAACTGGTAGTTCCCATTTTACTAGGTCTAATACTACAACCAGGGGTGCTTGATTGGCGGTAGCAATGGCAGCCGAAATGGAAGGGTTGAAAAGAAAGGTGACCGGGTCCAACATTTCTGACTCGAGGAAGAACCCAAGACAGCACCTTTTCCACATCGAAAGAAGTCGTGTTGGCCCGCGTGTGCCAATTTCATCTTTCAACGCGCTTAAAGATTGTTGTAGGCTAGTGTCTGTAATGATGATACACGGTAATCAGCACCTGACAAGTGTGACCATTGGGAAACTCACCGCTAGTATTTCGCAATACAGCAAGATGAAAGTGCCGACTCGCTTCGCCTGCCAAGACACTGGGATGCATGTTGAAGCATCGCATGAGTGCTGCTCCAAAAACCTCCTGATGAAGGTCATGGAACACTCGTTTAGAAATCTTTGAAGTACAATTATATCAGTATGAAGTTGAACGGGGAACATCAACTCACTGAGGACCTGGGACAAAATGGCTGACTGAAAGTACCGATATAGTACGGGTCATAAGTGCCGATAGGCTGAAGGGCCTGATCTGAGTAATCATGGATGTCTGAGTTGACACCTGTTTCATCGATGTCCTGGATGCTCATCGCTGCAGGCCCGGGATCACGATGGTCACAAATGAGTGGGATAGACGCCGACTCATGCTTTATACACTAAGCATCAAGCACCTGCAAGTGATCCAGTCCTCCAGGTGCCAGCATCTCGGAATCGACCAAGTGCGCTCGAACACGATTGAATGGCTATTCAATAGCATGACTCACTGGCGGGAATGAAGCACAAGCGGTGGAGTAATGGCGATCTGGGTGTGGAGCTTTCCATTTGAGAAAAATACGCACATATTGAGTTAGCTTGGGCGAGAAAGAGTTACGAACATCGTAGAGTCACGTACACATATAAGCTTCCGACTAGTATGTACGTCTTCGAGATGAGTTGACCATGATATGCACGGTACAACAGGCTGGTCACGAGCGTAATTGGCGGATCTTTCAGCTTAGTAAGCAATTACCTGAATCTCAGAAACTGAAATCTCCTTAATTCAGTGGATTTACACATCTTGGTGTTGCACTTGTCTCACATGCCCATGATGTAGTTAACAACTTAACAATATGGTTGTACACTGCGGTCATGCGCACAGTGTGTTAGCGGGTGAACTGGAAACATTTGATCTAGAATAATTGAATATTGGCAAGTAAATATACAGCGAATTAAATTTTATTGTAAGTTCTTAACCAGAGTTAGCTAGAATGGTTTCCCCTAGGCCTGCTTGAGGCCTGCAGTTCTCAAAACTTTTGATGCATCATGATGTCTTGTGTATGCAAGAATTGTGAATTGTGAGTTCTGAGACTACTGAGTACAGCTGAGAAGTGCTTACCTATGATACAGCTGTACTACTAACTTGAAGATTCGGAAACAAAAAAAAAACTGTTGACAGCTGACTCAGCCTGCGCAGATTGCGCAGGCTATAATATAGGTGGATGTGGCACCCATGAGAGGCACATCTGCATCATCATGCCCGTTACTACCCGCCTTTTATCGTCAGAGGCATGCAATAGTGCCTATGAATGCAGGTTTCAATCACCTTCTACCACATCATTCAGAAGGTCCTACTCGCAGGGTCTTGAGAGCAAAAGGAACACCTTTGTGCAAAGTCCCTCCCCAAATACCCACCCCCCCAACAACTTGAATAATGCCACTTCATTGGATTCACCATCAAAATCCAAGGTTCAAGTTAACAAATATCCAGCACCAACACCTTTGCAGAGGGAGGCATCCTCCAAACCAGCCGATGAATGTGTCCCAAGAGATGGTGAGTGTGTTGAGCGCTTGGCGCATCACACATTGCACCACACTCACCCTAGCGAATAGTAGCAATAGACTTGCGCAAGCGGATTATCGCCGCCATCAGAGATGCCGATAACGCGGAAGAAGTCGAAGTATGTAATCATCCATTTCGTTATCTTCAATTGACTCACGGCTCCACAGGAATTTTTCAATGTGTCAAAAGACGATTATCATTATATTTTAGATGCTATCGATGAAGATGATGATGAAGATAAAGTAATACGCAAGTAAGTACTCTGATATATCCATATCCATCCAATCCTGAACTCATCTGTTTACCTCCATCAGACTCGTATATGCTGAGGAACTCAAACTCCTTACCGCCACCCTGCCTAACCGACTTCATCAAGCGTACCTTGCCCCGATGAGCGCCACACTGCTCGGCGCCGTGGGGTCGATAGGCATCCCTTACCGATTCGGGCAGATCCGCATTCAAACCGACATTCATCTTCTCAGCGCCGTTGGCCTCAAACTTGGAGTGCCGGACATGTTGATGGAGTACAAGGACCCAGACGGTGATTGCATCCCCCTCTGGGCCACTGAAATCAGTGTCTCCCAGACGAAGAAATCGGCGACAAGGAGACTCGGCGGCTTCATGAAGGATCGCGGGGATCTCCTCGCCATCACGTCCATCGACGTGAAAGAAAAGAAGAAGCATGCGGGGCCCCGGTCAGGGTCAGAGGCGGTTGAGGTCTTAGAGGAACACGGATCAGTCTCAACGTTTTCGCAGTGGCTGTCGCACACGGCCCCCAACGACGAGGACCCTACCGTCATGAAAACATTCCGTCACGTCTGGCAGCATCCTATCACCGTGACGATAACAACGTGGCTTCGCCGCCCCGACGGCAGTTTCAGTATTAAGGAGAAGAATCCCGATCTTTGCGCAACAGCGGTACGATCAATTCTCTCCTTCAATCCATCTTCTGACCAATTACAGGACTTGTTTCCTGAGCGCTGTGATCTTGAAGAAATTGATCACGTTTTTCGACGTACCTTGGAGAGGATTAGAGACCGGGTTGTCTCCCTGATTGAAACCAGGTTTCCAAGGTACGTTTTTCTTATTATTGTCGACGAATTGATCTAATCAACATTTATTTGTTTTCCAGCGCCGTTAAGGATGCCGCCTTCGATCGTATTCGTGCGTGGTCTCCTCCGGAACCGCTGAACGATTGGGACCATCTCGCCGATGAGATTATCGTCGGCGCGAGGCAAACGGGATACACGCGTTATGCTGGCTGTCATCAAAACATCCTCAAGCGCAAAGCAGAAGCAGATGAAGTGACCACCGGAGGTTCTGGATCTACGAAGAGGACCAGGGCAGCTTAGGGTTTCGTATGAACGATTGTCTCTCTTTCTTGTGTCGTCATGTTCACAATCGTGTTGCTCGTCTGATGGCATCCTTCCTATGCGTTTCACATCTACTCAAATGTAATCATATCCCATAGCTTTTTGTACACTATCGCAGAGAATGGATTTTTCCCCCTCCCCCCTCGCAATACTTAGTACTGGTGGTCTTGTTGTCAGTGTTCCAGTGTGTGTTGCGACTTCGTCTAAAAATTTCGACGGTTGGCCACGTCAAATGACATGTCAAGATAGTAAGTAGGATCTTGAAAGAGTTGCCCTGTCGCGGACGCCTGATATTATAATGTCTCATGTGCTTTCATTTACCGTACAGGCATTATGTATTGTCAGGCAATTTCTACGATGGTACGATGGGACAAACACTGGCGGTATTTACTGATTACTGCGACACAACTTCAAGAACGCGTGCCAAGATGGCGATTTGTTCCCGAAACAAGCTGACAAATTCTTTCTCCAATCTAAGATTTTCTACCAATGGATCAACACCTCCAGCTGTATTAGTTGGCGCTGCTCGATAAGGCCACACACCGCTTCTTGGCAAAGTCCTGGCTCCGAAGGTGAGTTTGATTTTCTGGTTCAAATCGGCAATGTGAGAGACTTACCCCACCGGACCCGCAGCCAGAGTGCGATTCACCCTGATAACGCGCGTTTCAAATTAGGCCTTTGGTTCTTGGGATCAGGTGAGTTTGTTTGATAATCCAGTGATCAATAAAATTTCAAAAAATTTCACGTACTTTCAGCATCAAATCAGGCTGTGCATCTGCAATGCCAGGTACTTTGGTGTTGGCGACCGCGGCCTAATTATGGACTCGGAATCATCCTGCACATTGAGACCTGGCTCAGATCTCGGCCGATGACATTCTGGAAGAATCTGGCTGTACATATAATATCCTTGTGAGTCAGAAGGTGCCCCTTGACCGTTTGCTAGGTAACGGAATTCGCGAGGACTTGGTGAGTCTCCTAATCCGAGAAGTAGTGATGTGTTGTTGTTGTATCTAGAGCGTGGGCTGCTAGGCTGCATTATGAAGAATTCAAGCGGGTTTAGTGATGACGCCGAAAGGCCGGTATGACAAAATTCGGTAGGTCATTATCTTTTTAAGCACTAACATTATCATACACTTTCTAGATTAATTGACTATTGCCTGGACGGAGTCATTGCTCCACGTACGGCAGCTCCACAGCAGCTCCACGGCGCTAATATACTTTCAGCCAGGGAACTTTCGTAATGTTAACGTCCCGTACGTGTGCGGTGTAAGATTCTTTAAAATTTCCGCTATAAAAACAGTACCACCAGGCCAATTTCGCACGGTCAAACCACACTTCAACTTGTGAGATCTAGCCATGTCCATGACATACGCTATCACCTACGGGACTCATGCGATCCGAATCACCTTCGGTGCGCTCGCTTGGTAGTGCCTCAAATCTATTCCAAGTTCCCTTCTCAACGACACCCTCGAGGAACACCAATAGTCCACCGGCAATCGCACATGATGGAATGGGACTTGGTATTGAGTTTTGGCAGCATTTAGTAGGTCAATCAACTACTTTTCCCGTTAACCAATTCTCATTGTATATAGCATCAGTCATCACATTACCCGACCCCCACGCTGGATACCCGTCAGCGTTAATGATTGCTAAATCATCACATCGCGCCATGCGCAACGGCCGAGTTGCAGCTCAAGCTCGCGTGGATCAGTTCATGTTGTTGTTGAGAGCACTGTCCGAAGAACTGGAGGATTGGAAGTGGAAGGAACAGGAGGCCGAACAAACAATCTTGTCCTTTGGCTCAAAAGAACGACACTCCACCTGCTGATCATGATGCATGACCCATGCAATGTTCGCCTGGTAACCATATATTAACTTATACATTTTTTTTTGAATAGCAAACATCGTAGCGCTTGCTTTCCTTTGCTACTCATCATGATTAACGCTCTACGTACAGTTGTAGTTGGTTTTGTATTTCTTATGTACATCAATCACGCTGGTACTACCAGTCCTTGCCATGACTGAGCGCTGAGCCTTTGTGGGAAAATGAAACCTTGTCACCTTTCTGTCAGGTGAGAATCGCAGTAATATTAATATTGCTTGTTTTCATTATCTTGTACAATTATGTAATGCCAAACCGCCGCATGGCACGCATGTGCGTGTGTAGTTTATGGCTGGCAATGCGGTTTCTACCGAGATATTTTCAATCTGAGTTCGAAACCTATAGCGAGATATTCCAACTTATCGTTTGTATCCCTCAGCTAGTACCACTGGACGCCCGCTCATTCCAGTTGCCGATACACGCATTACGCACGGCTCCGCATTATGCGGACACTTTCAGTTGCTCAGGCGCTGATCCGTGAACGTCAGCTGTTAACTTGTGCGACTAGGTCCCTGAGCATCAAAGGACGTCCTGGGAAGGCTCTTATTATATTTTATTTTGACTGCTATGGTTGTACTAATGCTTTATTCTAGATTGTTAACTGACTCAGGCGCCCAGGAGGTGCTGGTAGTGCTGTAGATCAGCGCATCGGCACTCATGATCGGGTGTATATTCATATTCCATCCTTCGGTTCTGCACCCATCATATTTGCACCAACAACAAGCGCTTCGGCTCATTATGTGCCGCTCTGCTGTGTTGCCTTGCGCACGGCTCTACTACGTACTGGGTTATTATGGATCTGAAGCCGGCTCATACTAGCGCTCTTGGTATGACATTTTCGCATCGCTGGGTTCCTCTATGGATGTCTCCATCGGCAAGTTAACCTGTTTGGTGTTCATCCCGTAAATCTCCATTGCGCGCGGAACATGGAGCGGTGGTTGGACCCAACTGGAGGAACAACAGTTTGAGTTCCAAGCTTTGACTTCTCACCCTCCCGCCACTGGACTGAATATACTCTTCTAGGGATCGTCTGGCCAGATATTGAGAGCACAGCTCCTAAGAAAATTAAATTTACCCTGTGCCAAAGGAGCGTGCCATTACAGTCCAATTCTTGGGTACCCCTGCACAGAGGCGTGCACAATTCTGCAACTGGTAAACGTTCATTTTGCGCTGACATTGTCTGTACGCTCATTTCTAGCAATTCAGCAGTGCAAGCTTTTTGAAGCGGGTCTCCCAAGAGGAGCTCCGTCAAATCCTGACCTAGCTGAGGTCTGTTACAAGTGGCAAGGTACGTCTAGGTGTTGTACGATACAAGGATCTTGATAACTGACTTCCTTTGCCTAGATATATCATGCAACGCGTTATGCTGAAGCCACAAGCTCTGGCTTAGGCTTGTGTCAATAATTTTAGTTGGTCTTTTGTGATACCGCCCATGAAGAAGATGGTGCTTGGAGCCTGAGGAATCGATTATAGACTTTTCCTCACTTCCATTGGAATATTCAATGAGCATCACCACATGTATTAAACTAGCTCACTGATCATATACATCATCGACCTCAAATAAATTACAGTCCTGTAAGGTGTCCGATTTTTTCAGCCGTAATGGTCATTGAATTAATTTACTTAAAATTTCTAAATCTACCTGCATGACTACTACACCCGCCATTGCTTCTGACAGTCGACCACAACCGTCATCTGGCTGACAAGCCTGGGCCATGGTCCAGCTTTGCTCTACAAGCAAATTCTCTATCACAACATCGCTCATCTTAATACTCTGCGTTGTGTTGATGGTCCGACTTGTCTGTGGCGCCCAAGGTTGCCAACGGGTATTACAAGACCAGCGCGCGCTCACGTTGCACCGCAAAACTTGTGCTGAATACAAAAAAACAGTGCTTGCTGTGTCTCAGAAGCGAAAAGATCGCGTGCGTAACGCAATAGCGACAAAGGTATTGAAAGACAAAACACGCGGTCCTTCAGTAGGTTCTATGTGATCGTCTGCGGATGCTTGTGCTTACAAAACCATCTCAAGTGCTCCGCCATTGCGGCCTCAGAGATCGTAGACCTAAGAAACACGGAATCAACAGATGTGGTATTGCCGCCTGAACATCCTATTATCGAGGCGATGGCCCCCTTGAATCATGCTTCTGAGTCGCCTATGGATGCTGACATCCGGGATACTACTAGTACCAATATGTTGACCAGAAGCCCAGATATTGATACATCAACGATGGACATTGGTAAGCCCGGAAATGCTATTGATTTCTTGCACTGACCAGGTACACATCAGATCATCACATCTCTGGTGAACTGCGTGCTCTTCCCGGTGATGGTAACGTGAACTTGGAATGCATTGGTGAGAAACGATCCTTGCACTTTAGTGTATGCTAATGTTTCACATAGCTCGCTCTAAACCGCAAAGAAATACCAGACTGCCCAAGCGGTATTGCGTCGATGGGCCTGTGGAACACATCGTTCGCAATATTGAAACCTCTACTCAGGACGTTGTACACGAAGATACCCTGGCGACAGATATACCACCAGCCAGAAGTGTTGTCCGAAGGGTGATCTCTTGTCACTGAATCCAATTCGCAACGTCGTGGGAGCGTTTGGTCTATCTCGTGACTACCCACAGCGCCCGTCCTACGAACCGGACATTCATTCCCTCACGTCTTCTGGTCAATAAATGTCCAACGTTACAACCCCTTCCATCAATTTCACCGCCCCCACATCCTTTTCCGAACATGACTGTGTATCGATTGCTGAACTGGATGTCCAGCGGAAGTACGAGAAAGTCGGAGGCGGAGGTTTCACGTCTTGTGCACGATGTGCTACTTGCAGAGGATTTTGATGTCCATGGTCTTCAAGGCTTCAGTATGAGGAAGCATCTGAGCCTTCTCGATAGCACTCCAGACCAAAATCCACCTAATGGTGCTGCGAAGTTTCCGGAAGGTTGGATTGAGACGGACGTGACTATCGAAGTCCCAAGTCGGAAAGCGGATGCTTCTGGTGGGCATCTGTTTACAATCCCAGGATTTCACTATCGGCCATTGGTCAGTGCCATTTGCGAAGCGTTTTTAGACGCTCAAGCGAAGGCATT